CTCCCTTTGAATTCCCCCTTAAAGAGGGAAGGGGGGCCCTCCCATAGCAACTCCCAGCCCCTGGCTCTGCCCGCCTTTTGTCCCCCTCCCCAACAGCAGTTTCTGCTCCAGAAGCCTTAGACAAGGCCTCCATTAATTGCGGGCCTGTGTGGAATACACGTGGGACAATGGGCCCAACAGAGTGTCCGGCCCCCAGACAAGGCTGGAAACAAGTGGTACAGGAATCCGGCAGAATAGACTCGTCCTGGCTGATGTCACTGAATACATTTACCTACCTCAGAGTGCATTCACTCTGCGCTTTGTTTTATTTGGACAAAAAAAAAAGAAGGGGAAGGGGGAGGCAGCGGTATCAATGGAGAAGAGGAGCTGGAGGGGGGGGGGGGCTCAAGGATGGGAAATAACTGGTTGTCATGGTGACGCGCTGAATCAAAAATATGGTCGAATTTAGCAGAGGCAGAGATGTAAAAAGGGTAGAGGGCATTAGATTAAACCCTGCGTGAGATAAGAAGAGGCTGAAAACAGAGGTTTAGTTTTTTTAGCGTATTCAGGCCTGTTTATACGGCAATAAAGAGTGGATAAAGGAGTGGGAGATTAGGAGACTCATCTGGGCTCATGTTTGTCAACAACAACCTGAGTAGTTTCAAGTCAGCTTATTCCAAGTCAGTACACCAGCAGAGAGGATGCTTAGCTATGGCAAGTGAAGCTGCGGAGGAAAAGGGGACCATAGCAACTGGTATTTCAGCATAACAACCTGCCATCTGTCACCTAACGTGGTGGGTTCTTTCTTAAAAAAAAAAAAAAAAAAGCCAGCATTTAGATCTTCAACTTGGAGGCAAAGGCAATGAGACTGAAGTCTTATTGAACTCTGGGTCTCCCCCTTTGAAAAGGGAACCCAGTCATCGCCTTATCCCTCATCAAATTGAAAAACGCTTTTAGAGATTCTAAGAGAGGCCTCACATTTAATTTTTAAAACCCAGACATGAAAGTGTTCCCAAACCACATTCAGCAGTGGAAAGTCTTTAAAGGACTAGTTAGCATGTAGATTATATGCATTTCAGTGCATTGTCAAAGTATCTAAGTGTATTTACATGTTAATATGTTCAGGGATACTATCGTCTTGAAAAGGTGTTGGGGGGGAGGTTGGTTAACTGTGTGTTTTCTCTCTGTGCACCATGGGAATGTGATTTCTTTGTGCCATCAAGGTTCAAACACATTCCTGTAAGGCCATGGATATTATGAGCATTGATTCTCTGCAGCAAAACAACCTATGAACCTGGTGATCCTGACTATAAAATGAGGCTCTTGCACATAAGTATACTGTAAAGTTAACTTAGCTGGTGCTTAAAGATCCAGTGTGTATGATTTAAGGGCATATATTGGCAAAAATTGAATATAATAAGTGTGTTTTCTTTAGTGTATAATCACCTGAAAATAAGAATTGTGTTTCTGTTACCTTAGAATGAGCCTTTTATATCTAGAGAGCAGGTCCTTGTCCATGGAGTCCACCATGTTACTACAGTAGCCCAGAATGGACAAACCAAACACTGGCTCTAGATAGGGCCATTTGTGGTTTCCCAGTGGCCACAATAAATAGAGCCTTGAAAAACACAGATTTTTTAACATTAAACTGCTTTATTCAGTGTTTTCATCTGTTTAAATCACTGTGTCCATTTGATTTGGAGAGGAAAAGACCTTTGTGGATCATTTGGCTCCCAGACTGTAAATTGCAACGAGCTGAAACTTCTCCAGGTTAGAATTCCTTCAATGTTCATTGCTCAGGAGTTTTTTTACAGGGAGCCGAATTATTTGCAGACGTCTCTTCCTCTCCGAACAAACAGACGAGAGATGATTAAAACCACTGAAAACACCGAATAAAGCAGTTTCACATTACAAATCAGTGTTTCTCTGGCGCTGTTTGGAACATCAGAGATGGGCTGCTAGCCCTGCTATTGTGTGCTCACCTTTATTCTCTAATAACTTAAGATCCAGACATTCAGGGATTTTTACCAGGAGCCAAATTATCTGCAGATGTTTCACATTAAAAAAACAGTGACGTTACGGAGGGGCTGCTAACTACAGTGGCCGAAAACGTCAAAATGCCAATGTCCCTATCTAGAGCCAGTGTAGGGTTTGTCTGAACATGATTCTTATCATAGTATACACTTAAGAAAACATACAGTATATTCCATTTCTGCTAGAATATCCCCCTAAATCCTACACACTGGACCTTTAAATTATCAAAGAGAAAGGTGAGCAAACACTAGCAGGTGCTGGGCTAGCAACCTGTCTGCAACAAGCAGCGTTGGATAAACACTGATTTGTAACTTGGCACCATTTTATTCAGTGTTTCTGCAGGTTTTAATCAACTGGTCTGTTTGTTTTTGAGAGGAAGAAACCTCTGTGGATAATTCAACTCCTGGTACAAACCTCCTGAACAATGAACAATGTAGGAAGTTTTAGCTGGTTGCATTTTGCAGTCCTCGCTGCTAGATTCCACCAAATCCGACACACTGTTCCTCTAAATTAGATATTTTTCTTTCTGGTGGATAAAAGATCGTAGAATTGGTTATTTCATCTTGGCACCAAGCGAAAAAGCTCCAACAAGAGCCCTGCTGATGCACTGCCATGTGGTGCTTATCCTTATCCAAGCTTAGTCCATATCCATGAGTGTATTTGCATTGGGATTTATGAATGTGAAGATGGCCCATTCTTGCCACTCAAGACGACTCACAAGACCAGCGTTTTGGCCACTTACGCTGTGAAAGCAGCCTGGGGGATGCCCTTTCAGCACTCGAGGACCTCTGGCTGAGTCCCCTTCACACGGGAGATCAGCCTCACTTGGGAAAAAAAAAAGTCCCTGCTCCTTACAGGGGGAGCTGTCCTGAGGGATGGCGCGCTCCTTGTCCCAGGGCCTCCCTTCTTCACCTGCCGGCTTAGTGCTCATCACTTATGCACATAATCCCTGGTTAGTGCATGTGATCCACCAGCCCGGGCCCAGGCCCCTGGCCCCCAAGCCTCCCCTGCTCACATGCTTGCTGGGTGGCTCCTGGGTGGCCATGGCAACTCTCATCTTCTCATGACAGTTAGGCTTCAGTCATGGCTCTAAGTCCCTCTTCAGTCTCTGTGCGTCTTTTTCTGTCTGCTGCTTTCTGTCTCCTAAAGCCCTCCTCTGTTTGTGTGCTGTTCTATCTATGGCTCTCTGTGTCTCTTTTCTCCCAGTGCGGCTGTTCCCATGCTTTGGCCCAGCTGAGCCTGAGAAACCGGCTATAACTCAGCAACAGTGTGGCACCTTCAGGGGACACAAAAGTGCATTTCTAGTATATATTTAAAGACTGGATTCTTCATTACTTCATATTGTGCACCAAATGAAGCCCTGACCTAATTTTTATTGTACGTCTGATCTGTAAACTGAGATTGTAAGATACACTTGTGCGCTTCTTTTCACTGTGGCCACTCCAGGCCTCTGAGTACAGATCATCTTACCCCGATGCAACCCCGCAGCCTCAACCATTAGTTTGTTTAAAGTGCTGAATATCGCACAGGCCCTTGGGGGAGAGCAAGAACCCGGCAATGTTGTGTGGCCCCACGCTAACAAGTGTCACAGTGATCCGGGCCGGTCCTCCCCCTGTGTGAATGCCATGTGAGAGGCGGCTCCATCCATGCCCCTGCCACCTCCGCACAAGGCCCTCCATTGACTTCTAACCTGTTGAGGGACCACGGGAGACAAAGAGCGGCGGGGCGGGGCCCGTCCCTCCGACAAGCCTGTGAACAAACGTTAACACGGCTGCAACTGTCCACCCCCTGAATCACTGAATTTATTGACCAACCACAGAGCCCATTCAGGCCTGGAAGGACTGATAAAGGAAGGGGGACAGGGATGCCATGAAGGCCCGGGGAAGAAGCCCATGCTTTGGGGACAGGAGGGAGGAGAGGGGCTTTGTGACCGTCTGGTGGGTCACAGACCTTTTACCAGACGTGGGTGCCTTTGTGTCATCTGTAAAATGAGGCCAACCGTAAGTGAGCATCAGGTTGGCCTTGTGTCCCGACTATAAATCAAGACGAGGGCCTTATGAGTGTCCCACAGCCTTCAGAGAAGCTGTGTCAGACTGATGTCCGCTTGTGGACTTTATGAAGAATAAAGAGAATATGTGTGTACGAACAGACATGTTGAGAAAGCAACTGAAATGACAACTTTTGGCGCTCAGAAGTGTGTAACAGTGGCCGTTACTCTATTCTAAGCAGGTCTGATCACTCTGCGGGGACTGCTGTGGGCAAAGACACAGTAAACAAAGACTGTGTGCACAGGCCCAAATCTTGAAAGTACACGACTCAGACAAAAAAACGTATGGGTAAAAGAGAAAGGAGATGAAGTCCAAAATGTTTGAAATAGCACACGTCTGAGCGCAAGCTTGAGAAAATCTTTTTGGGCGAGTAGCTGGCTGTGAGGAAGAAAGGCTGTGTGTTTTAGCTTCTTTATGTCTCTCCACCACTCTCCATCTGTTGCTCTAACGATACAAAAGGAATACAGCGGAGAGTACACAAAAACCCATATTGCTTTGTGGAGAGGCAACACTATCCACCAAACTACATCGCAAACACAGATCGAAAAGCAAGACATCTCCCAGGCTCTGTATACACATCGGTGTTTACTGAAAAGATGATCCGTGCAAGTCAGAGAGACACACATGAATTCATGATGCCTCCTCATCCTCATCATGAATATTCCCAAAAAGGCTCTTCCCTGATCTGTGGGAGATTCTTTTCTCTTTGGTACAAGCGAGGACCCCCTTCCCTTATTCACAGTCCCCCCTAAATCCACCCATTCACTGCCTATAGGCCCTGATCTCCACATGAAATGATACCCCTCTTTCTCCTCCACTCTCGCGCCTTTAAGCGCCCATATGCCAGGCAGCGAGGAGGCTGGGAAAGCCCATAATTGATCAGTAAGTCTTGGCTGAAAAAGTGTGACCAGGGTCAGCCCCCCACGAAGCACGCAAGAGTGACTTAATACACAGATTTATTGGGAAATGTAATGGGAGTTCTGCAGAGCAAACACAGGGGTACCCGGAAACATTTTATTGAAGTAAGAAAATAAGTACAATTTTGAAAAAACATATTCCCTTGAGAAAAAAAATGCTATTTTTAATAGTAATTAAAGAGGAAATTTAGGCGACTAATTCTCATAGGTTTTCACATTTATTTCATTTTTAACCTTAGCTAGAAAAATATGTATACAACAGCTGTAAACATTTTAAAATATATAAAAATCAAAAGTTAAAATCAACTGTTATAAAATTGTCACAGCAGCAAATGTTTCATTGATTTGTTTTAATTCAATTGCTTTAATTAATTAATCAATTAAAACATTATCTTAGTGATGTTAAATGTTATTTTTCCTCACAAACACTTAATTTATAAAGGCAGTCCTACTTGGGAAAACGAACATAAAGATTTAACGATGCAAACACACACACACACCGACAGTAAAAACATTTTTTAAAAAGGGAATTTCTGCTTCTCTCTTCCACAGGAAGAATTTCAACTGAAGCGACTCTCAGACAGAAATGCAGCAGTAGAATATTTTCTGCCTTAGAAATTCAACAGTACCAGTTATGTTCATAAAATTGCAAAAGACACAAGTCTCCCGTGTTTCTTTGAATCCATGTGACCTAATGCTGTTTTGCAACTTTTAGATTTTAGCAGCAGCAAATGTTAGTGGAAGACTGAATGTGTTTATTCACAGTGAAGAAGAAAGATTCGTCCAGTGATTTTAGGTCTTAAATGGACCTGACTGAGCAAAACAGTGGCTTAAAGGGATAGTTAGGATTTCTGAAGTGGAGCTGCATGAGGTACTTATCCATAGTCAGTGTATTACATACAGTAAATGGTGGTCGGCATGCTCCAATTTGGAGAATTGAACAGGAGTAGCACCACACAGCAAAACAGATTTTAGCCACATAAAAAAAAGTGTAAGTGGACACTATATCAAGAATATTTCTACCACTTTACCTTGCTGTCAGAAGGCCCCTGTCCTTCGGGACTATGTTTTCTAAACCTTGTGCAACTGTGCCATGTACTGTGTTATGCTGCAGGTCAGCGGTTTATGAAAGCTGTTTGCATTACTTTGTTCCAGCGACTTTGGCTCAGAGGTAGAGTGGGTCGTCAACTAATTGGAAGATCAGCGGCTCAATCCATGGCTCCTCCAGTCCACATGTCGAAGTATCCTTGGGCAAGATACTGAACCCCAAAGTGCTCCCGGTGGCTGTTCTTTCAGAGTGTGGGTGAACGTGAATGGTTACTGAGTAGCAGCACCTGTGTGTGAATGGGTGAATGTGACATGTGGTGTTAAAAAGCTCTTTGAGTGGTCGGAAGACTAGGAAAGCGTTATACAAGTGCAGTCCATTTAACAGCCCGGAAAATCAAAAGCACACACCATTTTTGATATCCTGTAAAAAGGTAAAGTTTTGTTTCTGTCTGATTGCGGAACTTTCTGACCTGACCAGCTGACCTGCAAAGAGGGGTTCTCTAACAGCAAGGTTTATGTAGGGAAAATTTCTAAATATAGTGTACACTTACACTCATATTGATTTTTTTTTTAGGTGGCTAAAATACACGTCGCCCCATCCACAGCAGTACATTGCTTAGCTATTATACTCCAGCCTGCTTCTCCAAACTGTGGGCATGCAGACTGACTTCTACTGCAGGTAATACACTGACTATGGATAAGTACCTCATATAACCACACTTTACAAGATCTGAACTATCCCTTTAATACTGGATCTGTTTGATGTATCTGATCTGTCAGACTGAGACAAAAAATAATGGGTCAGCTAAAAGCTGTTTAAAACAATGCAAAGACTCGTCTGACACTCATATACCTTTCTCAGTGTCCAGTGTTGTAGTTTGATTTTGTATGCCATTGGTAGGACAGTATAACGTAGTTAGTAAGACATCCATTCATCATAAAGGAACAGTTTAAGATTTTGGGAAACATCTTAATGTGTTTTCAAGTCCGAAAGTTGGAAGAAAAGCAGCAGGTGGTTAGCTTAGCTTAGCACAGCTTAACAGCTAACCTGGAGCCTGGTCATCAGTACAAGCTTGCCTGGCAACCAGCAGAGACTTTACCACCTGTAAAACCTCAACATATTGTTTTTACACTTTGGTTTAAGTATGGGATAAACCAAATAAGACAAAATGTGGTGATTATTGATCCTTAGAAAAACTTTACCTTTAAAAAAGAGCAATGCTGGCTGTTTCGCCATTTGTGCTAAGCTAAACTAAGCCAGCCTGTGGCCCTGTTAACATCTGGTATTAACATGTGTCTTGGGTGATCCGATCACAAGTGGACAACTCTATGTCTGTTTAGGCTCGGCGTCAGAATGCACTTCCACATGCGTCTCAACTGACCAATTGTGATCAAATCTCACTTTATCGCTCCATGTGCAAACAAACATCTAAATCATTTCCATTTGCAAAGACGAAATGCATTGTTGTTTTTAGCTGGCAGGAAGTTTATCATGCTTAAATGTCCTGACACACCAAGTTGATGGTCGGCCGTCAGTCAATGTTGGGCCATCGGTGAGCATCTGTGGCCCTCGATATATTATAATATTATGTTGATATATAATATTTCTGCTGATTCAGCAAGTTGAATTGGCGTCGGCTATTGTGGAGCCCGTCGGTGAATGAAATCACTCTGATTGGCAGTTCACCTCAGCGCACAAGTAGAGAAATGGAAGTAAGGAAAGTAAACAAAGAGCTAAAGTCAAGAGGTGCACAGTAAATATGCTTTGTCCTTTCAACACTGGATTGCGTTGTTAATGTGCTAACTGGCTAACCAGCGTCATGATGGTCTTTTGGTTTCCCTTTTCGTATGACGAATACAGATGACCGCTGTCTGCTGGTGTGGAGAGTTATATCTTCTTGTGAAAGCACAGAACATACATGCTGGTTGGCCATCAGCTAAAGTCTTTGTGGCGTCTTAGTGTGCAACTTTTAGCCAAGACACAGACGACGTGAGGTGACGCAGCAGGGGGATTTCGTTGATGCTAGTTCTCTGAAGTCGGTTTGGTGTGTCTCGGCCTGTACACACGCTTCAGCAGCAATTTATTAGTTTGCCTCAAGGAGACAGACTATGGGAGCTTGTGGATGGCTTCAAGGTGAGATGGAGTTCCCCCACTGTTGAGGACCGATAGATGGCTCTTACATTCCCATCACTGCCCCATCCAGCAATGCAAAGGATTACTTCAATCGCAAAGAAAGTCATTCAGTCATCACATTAGTGTCCTGAAAGTGCTGAAAGAGTGTGGCCAGACCAACTCTGAATGTATTCTGACCAATGACATTTCAAGACCCATTAAAGACGCATTCCTACCTGTACTTTTAGCTGGCCACTAACAATCCAATCATCCAAGACATATGTTATTACCAGGTGTAAACAGAGCCTGTAACTGCCAGTGGTATCACTCAAGCAAATAAATGTACCATATTTCCCAAAATGTCTTTAATAGAGGCCTCTGGCTCAAGTTTCAGCAGTGTGACAGCACAGTACGGCTAAAAAAGGTGCAAAGTGTTTGTCCATTCTGATGAGGTGAATCTAAATGGAACTTTATGTTTGCAGTTCACACAGTCAGTCAGACATTGCAGCAGGAGGCCTCACCTTAATGAGGCTCCTGGATTGATCACTGGCGTCCAGCAGGCTCCACGTCCCAAACACATCTGAGCATCGATCACACCTCTGAGCTTAACTCAAGCTACGTCAACATGAAGGCTCGTTGGGGGTTTTAGGTTAAGTCTGTGCAGTAGTTTGCTCGTTGGTCACGTCGGTGTCAGAGGGGGGCAGAGATGTGGGATTGTGAATCACTGGCGTAGGTGACAGTGGAGGGTCTGGGGGGCCAGTCACCGTCCTCCTGCAGCTTCAGGGCCAGGTGCATGTAGCGCACCTTTGGGGGCTTGTTTTTCTGACAGAACAGCCAGGAGAGGAAGGGTGCGCCCCAGCGGTCATTGGTCTCCTGGGAACACGTAAAGTATGAACATCAGAAACTAGTCAGCGGCCGCACACCTCATTCACTATGGAGGCGTGCGGCAAAAGTTTTCTTCACATATTCAAGATAACACAGGGTGAGAAATTGAAATACAAATGGTCATTTAGGGGGTTACGTATTACATCAATATCAAGAGCTTTGCTATATTATTTTAATATAGATAGATAGATAGATAGATCTATTTTTTGTCATATGAATTCTCAACACAAAGACCTTAATGAAATGTAGTGGAATAAAAAATGACATTTCAAATACTGTCTGTTTTTAATACTTAGTTCTATCAAATTTAGTCTCTATTGATTATTTATACAGCAGTCACAACATTTTAAAAAGCCATCAGAGGAAGAAAGAAGCGCAAAAAAAAATAAAGTTAAGAGCTAAGAATGTGTAGAAGTGCTTTCCATAAAGTGAAGCCAGTCATAAACTCAAAAGCATCCCAACCTGAGGCGTGTCAGCAGAGGGCGGTTCTGTGGGGCGATTTACCCCCTGATTGCATCTGAAAACTAGCCTCCACAAGATGATGTCAAGGATCAAAATCTACGGGAGATTTCAGCGTGAAGAGGAGGAGAGGAAACTGGTCATAAAGATTGGGTTAAAGCCACAGAAATGCACAGAGAAATAACTCAAAATGAAACTTAAAAAACACGATTCATTGATTTCATTCATTAGGCAGTGTTGCAGTGATGCACTACTGAGCACCGATTCAGCGGGGGGGAAAAAAATCACTGCATGCAAATCACAGTTTTCTAATTGAAAAAAAAAAGGGAGCGATCAGTCACAGAGAGCTTGATGTCTCTAAAGCGTACCTCCAGCATGAAAGACACAGCCGCATTCACTATGACAATGATGACCAGTGTAACGCGCCAGTCATGGGGAACACACACGATCTGGGTGGAGGCAGAGCAGCAGGATGAGAGCACTCAATGCAATGCAACACACACACACACACACACACACACGCACAAACACACTCCATCAACTTCATGCAGCTTCTCAGCCAGTGTTACACCTCTACTCTGCTTTCATGTTTCTACTTTTTTAATCTACAGCCAGGACATTTGTTTTTTTTTCCTTTTAGAGCAGCCAGTGCAACAACAAATGTAAAAAAATGTATAAAAATAAAGTTTACCTCCAGGAAGCTGTCTATGGCAGGAACAGGATACAGCATGATGAAGAGAAGGAAAGTATACAGGCCGATGCAGGACAGCATGAACGGCCCTGATAAAATTAAACCACAGAATTCAGTGACACCAGATTAAATGGTTATTTTCAACTTGCAAAGACATAACATATATATGGGCAGTGATGGAATGTAATGAAGTACATTTACTCAAGTACTACTGAAGTATAATTTTAAAGTACTTGAGTTTTTCCATTTTATGCTACTTTATTCTGCTACTCAATGACTTCTCAGAGCCAAATATTGTACTTTTCACTCCACTATATTTATTTTAAAGCTTTAGTTACTCAATTTATTTACATTTTATTGCAAAAATCAAAAATTGCAAACAGGTTATATCAATATATCATCACACTTAAGCCACCCAGCAGTTTATAGATTAATTTAAATTAGCCCCACCTTTACCTGCTGCAACATTAAAGTGATGAAGACATGAATGCATCAATTTTTATAATTCAATAAAATAATACATATAATTCTAAAATGGACCATTCTGCAAAATTAGGTGTCTATAGGCATCAGACATTTTGATTTAATGCTTTTTAAGACCTTTACAAGATCATTTTTAACCAAATTTAAAACACATTTTTGGACAAATAATCTTTTTCTTATTCAAATATTGCAGGTAAGTTTAAAGGTGAGTAGTATATAAGTAGTCGTGTAGGTTTTATATAGGAATTTGGTTATTAGGGTGAGTTAGGTTAATCTACATTTTGCCAACAGATGAGTGCAAGTATAAAGTAAAAAGATTTGTATCATCAGAAATGTGGGCTTTCACTTACATGAGCTTGACTCATTTTAACACAAAGAAATTAAAAGATGGATAAATTAAATTACATTAAATGTTTGTGGCAATTAAAACCTCACAAATTCAAATTTAGGCTATTAAATGACTTTTAAGGCCTAATATTTCAGACTTTTTAAGGACCTGCAGACATCCAGATATAGAGTACTTTTACTTTTTGTTTTTTTTTAAGTATATTCAGGTGCTTATACTTATACTTGTACTTCTACTCACCTAAGATTTTGAATGCAGTTCTTTTACTTGTAATGAGTATTTTAACACTGTAATAATTTTAATATTATTGTACTCAAGATCTGATACTTCCTCACCACTGTATATGAGGTAATTATTGCCAGCACAGTAGAGATTGGTATGTTACGTTTGTATGTCATACTCATACTGAAGAGATTTAGAAAAGGGATTGATGCATTTAGGAAAATGAATTATAATTTGGAAAACTGATTTGGAAAATTACAGTTTAGAAAAAACGTCTTGAGGAATTTCATTTGCTTATCTATCAGCTTTCTATATCTCATTCTATTAATTTTTATAGGCACAATAAATAATGTGCCTGGCAAATTTAAACTCAGTCTGTGCTGACAGTAATCTTTCTTCATACGCATCATCGCTCCAACACGACTTAACGAGTCTTACAGTTCTTGTAGCTCGGTTGTCTGAAGGGCTTCCCTTTGGAGAAAACGATGGCCACAGCCAAGTACTGAAAGGAGGAGACGTAGAAGAGGGTGGTGTTCTCATAGTTCCTGATGTTTTTGTGGTCGTGGGGGGTGGTTACATTCACGCTGTGAGAGGGACTGGAGCTGGACACGTTACAGGCACTACAGGGGAAGAGAGGAGGGAAGCAGACAGTTAATGCAAACCTTCCGTCTTTTTGTCTACTGACCAGTTTACATTATATAAAATGTGTTACTGAATACAGCTACAAATTTCCAGACAGATAATTGGCAGTATAAAACTCAGAGTTGTATTTTTAAACTAATTGGAGGGACAAACAATAGATTTTACAGAGATCAGCAGGGACAAAGCTGGAGCGCAAGCTGAGACAAAAGACTGTCTGCAGTGGCATTTACATATATTTACCAACCAGTGATTTACTGATCAGTCATTTAGCAGGAGCTCATTTCAGACGTGTTACTCACTCTGACTGAGGCGTCCATATCTCATACCAGCTCTGCTGTCGTACTAAGAGGAAAGCCAGAACCTGGAAGACCAAGCAGGTGAGGATCTGGGTCAGAACTGAGCAGAGCAGCGGGCCAGAGATCAGACTGGACGGAGGGCGGCGCCACACCAGTTCCTTCCATGCAGGGTTCAGACTCACTGAAAACATAAGTTACTGTGAGTTAATGGAATACATTACCAAAAAAATGATAATTTGCTTGTCAATTAGTCAGCCCGTGTTACGTTGAATTTGTGAAGAAGGCTTTTTCTTGCATGTTTCAGTGGTAAACGAAGAATCCAAAAACTGAGAAAAATTAATTGGAGTCAAAGGAAGTCCTAGTTTCCTATTAATTTTTGAGTCACTCTGATACACCACCTGACCTGGCATCTCAGGAACCTTTAATGAAAGGCGAGTGTGCTGAAGTGAGTGTGGAGAATGGAAGACGCCACAGGGTTACAGTCTTTAACCGCTGCCTGTTTGGTTAGTCTTAGTTTTGATCTTATTTGGAAGCTGCAATACTATTTATATATAAGAAAAAAAAAAAGTTTACAAGCTCTCGCACAACTCCTGCAGTGTAATCCAGGTCTCATTTATCCAGTCGTACGCTCAGACGCATGAATTTCCACTAAAACTTTATAATTTAAAACACTTCAAGACTGCCCAGGCGAGCTACTCGAATGCAGAAGTGTTTCAGATAGTAAGGTTTTAACGAAAATGTAGTAAAGTCACACAATAAAACAAAGAAACTACAGATCAAGGCAGCATTAGACTAGCAGCTTCCATGATCAGCAATGGAAAGTTTCTGTTTTTGTCAGTGGAGTCTGGCTTCGAGGAGAGCATAGGTAAGTTTCCATTTAGATCCCTGCTAGAAGGGGCTGTCTGTTTGGAAGTGCTAAGCATACGACAGGATAAATAAGACTTGGATTATACTGCATGAGTTTTGTGAGAGTTTATAAACGGATGTTTTGCTTATGCTAATCTTTTTACTCCAATTCATCAAGAATTTTCTCCATGTTTGGATTCTTCGTTTATCATAGAGGTACGCAAGAAAAACAATGTTTTCTTCACAAATTTAACGTAACACGGTTTGAGTAATCAAAATACAAATGATCAATTTGTGGGTGAAGTGTTCCTTTTTTACTGTGAGTTATCATATTTGATTTCAAACTCAACCACTGATTAAAAGCATTTTACTCTTAGTGCTGCTCACTTGTGAAGGCAATGATGAGAATGATGGTGATGTCGATGAAGAGGAACTGGAAGTCTCCCAAATTGCTGAGAATCTACAATATCAGAGAAGTTGAAAATTAACAGTCACGCAGAAACAGAGGACTGGATCAACAATGTCTCAGTCTATAAGACTCACTGACTTCAGCCCAAATGTAAATCAGTGTGATCACATTACATCACAGTTCATGTATTTTACTATACTTCCCTTTTCCTGCTCATGAGCCCTCTGTATGTCGTGTAGGAACCGTACCAGTGTTTGTAACTGAGGCAAGCTAACAAATGCAAGACCTTAAATAATATGTCAAAAACATATTGCTTTGCCTCATGAAGTTTAAAACACCAAGGACATTAATAAAACACCATGAATTATGTCCATTGTGTTTTTGATGAAGCTTGAATAAAACAATTCTCAAAGGTAAAAAATAAACTGTTACACTAAAATATTTTTCTTTTCCCTTTTAAAGAGTTTTATTCAAGGTAAATCAAATAAGACAATGTTGTTTCTCACCAAGTGTTAAAAGAAAAATATTGGAACTGAACTGTGAAGTGTAACACTGAGAGACAGCAGGGTGTTTACCGAGTACAGCAGGGTGACACTGAGGTACTGGATGATGCTGTACAGAGCCATGAACTTGAACACGCAGAATGATGTGATGAGGGCAGCTCGGCCCTCCCTATGGAGGACAAGAAAATCAGAGATAATCAGAGAGCTCAGTAGAAAACCTTTAAAAGGATCAGTACGCCCCTGGTGGTGACAGACAGAACTGATGTGAAGAAGGTTTAAACAATTTGTAACAAATCTGAAATGTTAAATTCTCTGTTCTGGATGATTCTCTGTTCAGGAATGAGGTGCTACCTGATGAGGTTGGGGACGCAGGAGATGTTGGAGGTGGAGGAGGTGAAGGGTGAAGCAACAGAAGCCTCCAGCTCAGACAGCGAGATCCCACTGTGAGCTCTCTTCAAAGCCTGAAACAGAGAGAGCACTCAGTTAGTATGAACTGGTGTGCTACATGTTTATTTCAGTAACTAGATTTTTTTCTTCTTCTATATTTTAGGTGGAAATATTTTACATTTTTGTAAGGCTCTACTAAATATTGAGAAAGCTTGATTCAAAATTTATAATCAGCTATTTTTTTGTTCTGTATGTCTATTCATTGTGTTTAAATCTGGTATTTCAACACACACTATATTAGTGTGAAATTATATTATAAGTATTATACTATTTGTAGACTTAGATTCCAGTGTGATGTGCTTAAATATTCTGTTTCAATCTAGATTTCTGTTCCAACGCACAAAGGGAGACACGCACTTGTAGTAACAGGACGGTCTAGCAGTCATCATAAATAACATTTATTCATTAAAGAAAATCAATTTAACAGAATCACCTCAAGGGGCCAAAATGTTTTGTCACAATGGGTAAGGTAATATTTTTTACACATTCTATCACTGCACTAAAACTATGTTTTACAATTGGTTTGTTTACCTGTTATTTCTTTTAAAAAATACAATCATGAAATACAAAGCCTGCTACATGGATATTATTGTAGCCGAACTTGTGCCGAACACAAAAAGTCATGTGACTTTGAATATGCTGCTTACATTTGTTCAAACTGACACGAACATCAGGGTGTACCAAAATCGTCGGAGTCTGAAAATACCCTCAGACCCAAAAAGGTTATTGAAAAAAAACCAAACTTATTTAATCAGATAAATCTCTTTATTTGAACTGAGGATTTTATTCAAGGATTTTTTTAAGGTGATGATGTCATAAAATATGATGACAATTATTCAAACCTTCATTCAAAAACCTCAACAGAAGCTTTGAATGTAAATAAAAAGATATTCAATATGCTCTGTGTTTTGGATGCTAAAAACTCAGAGCAATAAAGTTACCTGCAACACATTATGTATAATAAACTCATTACAATCATATTTTCTTAGCATTTTAATTACCCAACAGTATGTGGATTAGGCTTATAAACCAGCTATTAAATTTAATGTATCCAATATTTCAACACTCACAAAAAATTTACTTGATTGTTGGATAGTTGACTATTTTTCAAATGTGATAATAACAGACTTTTTAGTGAAGGATTTGAGCTCTTTCACCTCTGTGTTACATGTATTTATTTTTGTATTTATTCCTGAGAACCAATCAGATACTGCCATGTAAGAGTATTTTACAAAGGCGACATCAGTCTAATATGAGATGGGATTAAGTGTGCTGTTATGTTATGTTTGTGCACATTAGTTAAAAATAACCCAGCACTTACTCCACAGTCATTTGCACCGTCACCACACATCCCGACAGTGTAGCTGGAAGGAAAAAAAAAGGGAGTGAAATTATTTGACAATGATGAAACTGTATAATCAGGTGATCTCCCACAGATTTAAATTAAGCTCATCATCAGATTTAATCAAATGAGAGACTCACTCGATGCCCTGCAGGACCTCCACCAGCTGAGTCTTCTGGTCTGGAGCCATGCGGGCAAACACTGTGGCTCTCAGCATGAGCTGCAGCACCCCCGTGCGGAGAGACAAGGAATTACAGCAACATCCAACAACATGATGCCAGCTTAGTATTACTGGAACTTAAACTGCACCTATTTATCCATAAAATAGCTTTAAACTTTATGCAAACGTAATATTATTCTGAATATGTAGATGTTTATGTGTGTGAAGATGAGCCTGTACCTTTTGGACGAGTTGAGGGAAGTGCTCGGTGATAACAGCGAAGGCTCTGCCACTCACAGCAAAGTGATAGGTCTGCTCCTGCTGAGTCATGTGCTTGTCATATAACCCGTCCTCCAGGTTTATCTCCACAGTCTGAAGGAGAAAGGATCAATCAATATCACTAGAGCACCAGAAAACTACCAACTTATCCTGCACGACTTTTTGAAGATTTAATCGGAAACCTCTCTGTGCTCTAATCTGACTGACACATGTGTAAATGGGTTATCATACAAGTGTGTGTAAAAGCAATAATGTGTGCCTTGTGTTTTTCCTGCAGTGTTCATTCCTTTACTTTACTTTTTGGCCCCCCCCCCCCCCCCGGGTCAGTGTCACACACTGGTTTTTAAAACGACCAGCTTATTAAGTGTCAATATAAAATATTAAAAATGTACAAGATATAAAGTGTTTAAGGAGCAAAAACAAAAAACAGTGCCTAATAGAATAAAAATAGAAATAAGATAAACACAAGAGCTACTAGCAGATTGAGCCTGATAATCAACATTATATTGTAAATGATATAACAAGAAGATATAACAATGATGTAACAACATGACCCCCTCTTCTTTCCAGCGGTGGAGCTGATGAGTTTGAGTTGTTGTTTTACAATGTGAAACTATAAGAAAAACATGCCAGCATCGATAAAACTAATAGATAAGCTCGGAGGCATGCGATTCTGATGGTTGTACAATTTGGAACCGGTTCTTGATTTCCATCCCTAAAAGTTATGGCACTGAATTATGGCCAGGAAAGTGTTCTTAGCAGAACATTTTGATGGCAATGCGAAGTTGACCTCTTGGATTTAAAATGTCATCACATCATTTTGGGTGAAAATCTATCATAATTAGCAAATGAATTTTTGAGTTATGGCCAAAAACATGTCTTGTGATGTCACACTGTCCTTGTCATTTAACCTTTGACAAAGATTTTTGTCAAAATCTAATAATTCATTCTTGAATCCAAGTGGACGTGTTGCCAAAATTGAATTCTCTAAAGGCATTCCTGAGATATCACGCTCATGAGAACGGGACGAAAAGATGAACAACCCGAAAACATAGTGGCCGAGCCACAGCTGTCCCTGGGGCAGAGGCATCCACACCCCCCACAGCCTATCATGATTAGTTAAAATTGTTTTTGAAGCAGTATGTGGCAGCTTTCCCAGGCTGACAAAGTCTCTACCCCTGATAGAAAATACAAGCAGACCACCTATTGTGTTTTTAATACTGATTTATTTATCACTCAGTAGCTCTCAGGCTTTCTGTCTCACCTGACTGTCCTTGTCGGTCTGAGCAGGGTTTTCAGTGTAATGCCATGTGATACTAGCAGGGTGGGAATCCTTAGGAGGCGCCGCATCTGCAATAATGACCCTCTCATGTGAGCGGACCATCCCGCAATCCCGAGCCACCGATATCGCCGTCAACATGTTGTCACCTAACAGAGAATGAAAGAGCAAGAAAGTTGAAATTCACGAGTGTATTCTTTACCAGGAGACACTGCAATGATGATGACACATTAAAACATGTGGAATACGTCACTGAAGTGATTTACCCGTGACCATCAAAGTGCGGATGTTAGCTTGGTGTAGTTCCTGTAAAACCCCGGCAGTCTCCTCTTTTATTTTGTTCTGCATGATGACCAAACCGAGGAACTCCATGTTGGTTTCTATCAGGTCCCTAAATGCAACAAATCAGACATTTTATCATCATAGACACCTTTTATTTGTTACTACTATCGTATAAAATTCACTTTATTGAATCAAAAAATATTTTTTTTGACAGCTAACCTTTCTTGCCTGCTTCTACAGAAGTTAAATATTCCCTACATTTATCTGAAAGACTGTAGAACCATCCACAAACAATCAACTGGTCATGTGAGCTTGTTAAAGGAATAACTTGGATCTAGGCAGCAGTAGACCAGCAGCTCCCGTATTCAGTGAAGTTGTTAATAGCTTCCTTGTGGGAAAGGGTTGTCTATGTCAAGGTAAGGCAGTAAAAGTTTAGCGTACATTTAAAGTGACACTGATTTTTTTAAGTGGGTTATGCACATATTGCTGCAGCCCCGCCCACATCAGTACAGTGCTTCAAAACTGGGGCATGTTGACCGGCATTTATTGTAGATAACCCTCTTCAAAAGATCTAACCTGTCCCTTTAATCTAGCAAGATAACCAAACACTTAATTAATATTGGGCCAATTTCCTGATTGCAGTTAAGCCCTTTAACTCAGATTGCACCATATCTTGTGGTTGTGTTGCATTCTGATAGGTTGAGGCTCATGTTGGTCGAAAAACTATCAATACTTCTTCTATGATGTTGCTGTGCGTGCAAAACTATGAGCCAAGCAAACATCTTGCAGTTTGATTATGAGATAACTGACACCATGGCTCATGTTGTAGAGAACTGGAACATTTTCTGCTTCTGTAGCAGCACTGTAAATATTTGGACATGTCATTTGATCCGTGTTTGTCCAGCTATCAGTGGAATGAAGTCCTACAGACATCTATATGGGAAAATACAGGCTGATTTTTGAAAGTTGCAGTATTTGAGAGTCTCTGTCAGTAGCTGCGTGTACAGTGTTATCTATGGAGGGAGGGAGTACCTGCTGAGGTTCTGGACTTTGTGCCAGGAGAGTTTGGACTCCAGCTGTCGATGTGCTAGGGCAATAACCCTGAAGCCCTGCCTGGTGTAGGTCTCCAGAGTCTCTGTGAAGTTCTGTGGGACTGAAGAGAGGGACAGAGCTGTGTCAGTCTGGCCTTTTTTAGAAGAGTGTGGTATTTGTTTAATGAACAGGACAGAGATAAAGACGCTGTACCTAAAGACACTGAAAGATTTTTTAAGATTTATTGTCCACCCACAACCTTTAACCCACAGGAGAAGTGTCAGACCTGTGTGCTGTTTGCAGAGGCTGGCCACAACCTCCGGTGCTCCTTTCAAGAAAGCGTTCATGTGTTTCTCCCCCAGCCTCCTGCCTACCACACTCATCCTCTGCAGGGCTGAGGAGAAGGGGAACTGACGCATGATACCAATCTCACAGGACTGAGGAGCAAAAGACACACGTTGCAGTGTAAAAAAAACTTCAAATCAGTTGTTGTTTCACTTCAGGTTTTGAAGATTGGTTCAACATTTTAAAAAATACGCTCTTTTTCCTTTCTTGTCGAGTCTCAGATGAGAGGATAGTTTTTGAGGATGGTTAGCTTATCTAAGCATAAAGGCTGGAAAAAAGGGGAAACAGCTAACCTGGCTCTATAAAACAATAACAGAATCTGGCAGCCAGCTCCTGGAGTATTTCATAACTTTAACGTTGCCAGGCAACCAGCGGAGACTCCAGGAGGTCTCTGCTCCCGACTAAGAAAAAATAAAAGTGCATTCCCATGGCCTGGTAGTTCCCTGCAGAGTGGACTGCACAGGGAAATCAGCCCTGTTAAGTAAGAGTCCAAACCGTAGAGAGGACACAATGCTCAGTTCAAAGGGAACTGTGAACTATGTAGTGAAGAACTGAACAATCATTCATCAGTTCACAGGAAGTTGACAAGCAATATTACCCATCAGTCATTGCGGCTCGCTGGAACAGCTGTTGTGATGCTGTTTAACCATGCTTTCAACACCACTGAACCCCAAGAGAAATGTTTACTTTGCATTATTGACATCATTTTTTTTTATCTTTTCATGAAAAAAATAAAAATGGACATAAAGAAGGTTTTAATGATATAATAATTCTGAGATCATGCAAAAACTTAAAAATATATTTCTTTACAGCCAAAAACAAATATACTGATCACACAATAATGACAAGGAGAGTTACTGTACCATGTTCTGAGTTAGTGGATTGTTCTGATTGGCTTCAGGGAAGAAGTGCTTTGGAGGTCGCACAACTGTGGGCATTATGGGATTGTGGAGCGCAGTCTCTTTCTCCATGGGCTCCTCTAGGATCTAAACAAAAATTAGATCATGTAAAGTTTTACTGGTGTGACAAAAAAATCAACCTTAGCCCCAGCTTCCTCCTGAAAGGAAGAGGCATTTTCTGCTGGTCATGCTGGCGTATCCATGGCACCAGACTTTAACCATTTTAGCCAAGAAGAATATGTTCTGCCAAGGCAACAAGTGTGTTGCTGCAGTGACAAAGCAGGGCTTGACACTAACTTTTTTCCCAAGGAGCACATGTGCTCCTAAGTTGAAAAAGTAAGGAGCGCACAAAGAACTTTAGGGGCACAATGTAAATTGATCAAATAATGTGTTTTCCGCAATTAACGTGATACAAATAGACATTTACAAACAAAATTATTTAATGAATTTGTATACAAAATGTACAGAAAGGTGAAATCATCAAGTTTTGAAAAAGTATTGCAATTTAATTTTGTCTTTAATGTTATTATCTTATATGTATTATCTTTGCAATATGATTATCTTATATAATGTTATTACTATCCTAAAACATTCTCCAGGTCCTCTGAAACTCTGCAGGACTTATTTCCACCCTGCCCAGCAGCGGTACCGTGGCGAACGGTCCCTAACTGCGGGGAGAACAGAGCAGGCTTCCCCGGAGGTCCGCCGCTTTTCCCGGTCCCTCGTCTCCTCCACACATTGACTTATTTCCATGCTGCCGACAGTGGGACTTATATTCATTGTGCCAACAGTGGCTTGGAAAACCACCCATAACCGTCTCACACAGGGAAGAAGGTTGGTTAGATTATCATATTTTTTTATTGACAAAAATATAGGCTGCTTTGGCTATTTTTTTTATGCGTGCATGTGCCCCTAAATATTTTTTACAGTTCGCACACACCTATTTTTAGTCGCAAATGCGAGTGAAACGCTCACACTGTCGAGCCCTGCAAAGTACGCCAGGTGTAAACATTAAAAGTCTTTGCTTACCCAGCCTGTCGCGTTGAACATTTTGAGGTCTAAAGGGTCTCCGGAGAGCTCGCCCTCTATCTTGGTAAGTGAGTGGCAGGTAGCCATGCACGCCACAAACACAGTGTTCACCAGGGTTTCGTTAGCTGCATCAGACTCAGGGGGAGAAAAGCTGTAAGAGAAGAAGAAAGTCATACACAGTTATGGGGTAGCTCGTGGAGTCAAAGCACAGTCAGGGCAAGGACTCCCAGCCCTGCGCAGCTATATGGATGACATCACCATGCTTCTTCAGACAGCTGCATGCACTTACCAAGCTCCTGAAAAGGCTTAAGGAACTGCTTACCTGGGCCCGGTTAAGAATCAAACCAGCCAAGTCCCGCAGTCTCTCAATCTGGAAGGGGGTCAGGAACGACAACATCTCCTTCCTGGTAAATGGCGAGAAGATCCCTCTAGTGGCAGAACATCCAGTCCGAAGCCTTGGCAGGCTCTACACAGCTGATCTATCCAATAGGCACATGGTTGCCACGGTGACAGCCCAGCTGGTGGATGGCCTGAGGAAGATCAACCAGAGCGACCTTCCAAGGAAATTCAAGGTCTGGTGTTACCAGCACACCCTCTACCAATGGGTGATGTGGCCAGCTTCAGCAGCAACGCGGATGGATGCCAAAGCTAACAATTTCATCCGCAAATGGCTTGGCCTTCCACGGTGCCTGTCCAGTGTGGCACTGTTTGGCAAAAACATGCTCACGCTACCACTGAAATCCATCAGCCTGGGCTACAAACAGGAGAAGGTGAGACTAGTGTTCCAACTCAAAGGCTCACCCGATCCAACTGTTAGAAAGGCCAGGGCTCAGGTTCGAACAGGACGTAAGTGGGATGCAGTGCAAACAGTGGATCAAGCCATTAGCCGATTAAAGCACCAGGAGATTATGGGAGTCTTGCAACCAGGCAGGACTGGTCTTGGCTGGGGTTCCACAGCCAAGATGTGGTCCAGAGCCAACGTGAAGGAGAGACAGGACCTGGTAATCTCTGAGGTGGTGAGGATGGAGGAGGAGTCCTACAAGATCAAGGCAGTTGGCCAGCGTCAGCAAGGGAGGTGGACAACCTGGGAGGCGGTGATAAAGCGATCTGTCACCTGGGCAGACATGTTGAGGATACCACAAGCACGCCTCAGCTTTATGATCAGGGCAACTTATGACACCCTTCCAAGCCCCCAGAACATCAACCTCTGGTATGGTACTGAGGAGAGCTGCCAGCTGTGCGGCTCCCAGAACCCAAGTCTGCAGCACATCCTCTCCAGCTGCAAGTCAGCATTAACGCAGAGCCAGTATAGATGGCGCCATGACCGGGTCCTCCGAAAGATCGCTGAGATCCTGGAAGCACGCAGCCTTGAGGTGAATAAGGACAGCACAGTACCTTCAAAAAGACACATCAATTTTGTTAGACAGGGAGACCAGGGCCTGTCCAACACCGCTAGGGCTTAGTCCCTCATGACTCCTGGAGCGGAGTGGAACCTGATGGCTGACCTCAACCAACTGCTTAGGTTCCCTCAGGAGATCGCCCCAACCTCCTTGTGACCTGACATCGTCATCTGGTCGTCCCTCACCAAGACAGTCTTCATGATCGAGTTGACCATCCCGTGGGAGGATGGAATGGAGGCTGCCTTCTAGAGGAAGAAGGACAAGTATGCAGAGCTGGCAGCTGCATGCTCACAAGCTAGGTGGAGGGCGTTCACATTCCCAGTGGAGGTTGGGAGTAGAGGCTACACAGGAGTATCAGCCCAGGGCCTCTTTAAGTCCTTGGGCATTAGAGGTGCCAAGCAGTGATGCCAAGCAGGCAGACCTAGCACCTACCTGTGCTACATACTGGTACCATAGAAAGTGGCTGATGCTGAATTGGATATATAGTCGTGTGTACTATCTACAAAAGCACTGAGAGGCAAGTGAGACAAAAATATCATGGTGATCCATTTTCTAAGTCTAATCTAAAATGTTTCCAGGCAATGTTTTGCCAGGAGAATGTGTCTAAACTACTTTTTCCCATCAGTGAAAATTGGTGAAAAACGGTTTTTTTTGTCCTATCTAGAACATGGGGCAGTAGACTCACAAGTCAGTCTTCAGAAGCTTTGCTTATCAGAAGGCGGCGATCTCTGATTGACTGGTGGCGAGACTAATGGGGCAGTGGTGCGCTACAGCCTCTTGTGGCCAAAATGAGTATTGCAACAACAGAAACTAATACAAAAAAAATATCTGCCAAAACTTCCTTTCATTTTACAGACACAGACTTCTTTTAGATCACTAATGTGTATAAATTAGCACACATTTTCTGAAAATCAACTGCGAAATGGTTTACAGACAAAATAACTGGACAAGAATATCTGTTTTTGGCGGATCTAACAAAGTAAATATCTGACAAATCATCACATTCACACAAAAATCACATAAAAATCCAACTCTGCCATAAAGCAGTTCTGCTCACTGATTAACTTCCCATATTGACCAAACTTAACCAGAGTTGTTAAAGATATTGTTACGACAGCATGAACATAATGCCAAAGTCTCTGATGACTGATACATTTATAATGTCTCACTGATATATTGTCAAATTGCCCAACCTCAGGTCTTGACCTCTAATTGACTCTAATAATAACTTTATCTACACTCTAAAGCACCTTTAAAAACAGAGTTTACTAAGTGTCTTGACAAAGAAAGCTGGAAACTCAGGGGGCAATATGACAGAAAGCTAAACAGGAGCAAGACAAAATTACTTATAAAAGAACAACAGCAATAAAAAAACGATAAAAGTAATAACAAGATGACAATAGAAAGAGACGCCGTCACATAAAAACGAGTCTATAGAAATGTGTTTGACCTTTGAACAGCCAGAGAGTCCCCACCTGAGGATCTGAGGTTACGTTTCAGAATACTGAGGGGAAAAAAACAGCAGGATTTGCTATTAACAATTTAAGAGCCCTACAACAACATCTGCCAGTCACATCCTCGAAATTTTAGCTTTTCGTCTAGTTTGCGGTTTCTCTCAGGAAACTAATTCAAAGAGGATTACCTGCCATCTTCAGCTCTCTGAACACCCCACAGGTCCAAACCATCTTCAGTCAGGGTACCAGTCTGAGGGAAAACAAAACATATACAGTTAACAAAGCACCAACCTGGACTGTAACAATCATCATCATCACACCTCAGAGCAGGAAATCAATTCTAATACCCCAAACTTCTCAGAGGTAAACCAAATAACATTCAAATTAATGTTAAAATGAAAATGATCAATGCTTGTTAAAGACACTGCGTATTACAGCAATGAAGCAGAAAACAAAAAAATGGCTTCAGAAATCATGTCCCTTACGTCATATACGAGAGTAAGATTAATGAATAGTGTGGTGGCAGAAAGGTCTAGAAATGTCTGACAGTTAAGACTCTGGGGTGAAGTCAAAGAGCAGAGTGACCTGGCAAACATTGTGATGGGGAAACAAGTTCCGGGAAAATGGCAGGAAATCACACACGCATGGAAAGGTAGGTGTGATGTTTGCCTGGAGGAGTATAAGAATGTTTGGTGAACTGCTCTACGGTGCTGTCTCATTGTTGCGGCACTGTCGTCTCACAGCAAGAGGGTTCCTGGTTCGATCCCAGGAGGGAGCCCTTCTGTGCAGAGTTTGCATGTTCTCCCTGTGTCAGCGTGGGTTTTCTCCGGGTACTCCAGCTTCCTCCCACAGTTCAAAGACATGCAGGTTAATTGGTGACTCTAAATTGTCTGTAGGTGTGAATGTGAGTGTGAATGGTTGTCTGTCTCTATGTGTCAGCCCTGTGATAGTCTGGTGACCTGTCCAGGGTGTTCCCCGCCTCTCACCCAATGTCAGCTGGAATAGGCTCCAGCCCCCCGTGACCCCTAACAGGATAAGCGGTTACAAAAATGGATGGATAGATGTTACAGACGAGCAAGAGACCTATGAAATATTCACATTTCACATAAAAAGTGACTTAAACTATTATTCCGTTGCCAAAATTGTTCCCAGTTAATTATCTCTCGATCAGCTAATCAATAAACCGTGCTAGCTCTACTCTGACTGTTCTTTTTGCACTAACAGTAACTTAACTCAGTGCTCACAAGATGTGATATAATGAAAGAAATATATCAAGCTATAGGAAGCTTTTTTAACAAGATATTTCAAAGCCACAATAACTTGCACAGAATTATAGCTCCAACTATAGCACCAAGTGAATCAATACCATTGCATTACCATATTTAAAAGCATGATGCTTTGTGTTTCGGCCAAATGGCCTCACTGGACAAAGTTACAGCACTGCCTCAAGACATCATGAGTCATTTTAATTTGTGGTTTTAAAGGTCATATAGCTATTAAGTCATTCTCTTCTTGCATGAAGTGGAAGTGGGTTTGGATGCCTCATTACTAATTTTCATGTACTCTGAGTCAGGCTCAGAGAAATGATCGCTGGTGAACACAGACCTGAAATCCAGTGTTGTGCACGGACACACTACAAGAGAGCGCTTATTGAATGTGCTATTATTAAAATATTAAAAAGCTCTACTGTAGTGGCTTAATCATTAAATCATTGCAGGTCTTCGTTGGGGCTTTCGTTCCTTAGGTTCAGTTCCAGCTTATAAACTTAAACACAGGCATTATTTACTCTTGCAACATATGAAGCTGGTTTTATGGCATCTGGCATGCCAACACAACACTTTTACTGCTGAAGCCAATTCATGTGGATAATTGGAGGACTCAGGAAGTTACAGTTTCCAACAACCTCTAATTTTATGCTTCTCAATTGTGCCCGCTGAAGTCCCAACGTCAGCCACATTGACATTTAATTTGAAACCACACATCCAGTTGAAGCATCTGATCAGTCTTGGGGTGACTGAAAGATGATCACAAGATTTCGTTTTATTTTTTTTAAAAAAGGGAAGACTTGGATAAGCTAGTTCATTTTAATCTATGTAAACTGAACTTTGAGTTTGCTCTTGTGAAGTGTGAACATGCACACCACTGCTAGATTCCACCATACAACCTGCATTCTCTGAATTCTTAACAAAAAATCACATTGCAAGAAATGCAAACTGAGGTTAGGACTACCTTATCAAAGCAAACCAGGTTCAGTTGACCACACATGTTGATCCTCTGAGGACTGATGCAAAAGATGCCGACGCGCTTCAGACGACGCTGCGCGTACACAATACCAGCTGTCATGGCTGCAGGTAGGGCTGGGGGCACAGTGATGGTGATGATGTCCAGAGATTCAATGATGATTGTTTTAGCTGGAACCTGGATGAGATCGAGGAGGAACCATCAGTAACTGACATACAAGAGGATTTCTAGAGGATGACAGAATCCTAAAGGCTCTTAGAGAAGCTGCATACTTAGTAGGGCCACCCCCTTATAGTCGACCAAACATTAGTCGACCAGAAAGGTCATTAGTCGGCAAGATTTCATTGGTCACTTAGTGGGCGACTAATCGACTAATGGCCCTAAATGACGACTGTTAGTCGACTAGGAAAATTCTTAGTCAGGGGCAGCCCTAATCCTTAATACATCAAATCTGAGCTTCTCCTTTCATGACCCAGAAAAAAAAGACACCTTGTTCATGATGCTGAGGACGATAGTGTAGATGAAGCCGATCCCTGCCACTCCCACCAGACACAACAAGAACAGGTAAGCATCTCGGTACAGCTTGAAGTCTGTGGGTTTAGGATGGAGGATGGAGCGCACGAGTTGGCCTTTCTCTGTACTGAAGCCTGTGGGAACACATGGCATTGGATTATTTTCTTGTCAACACTTGTAGTGTCTGAGTATGTGCAGCTCGAGGGGGGTCAGTCTGTGCCCTACAGCTAAATCATCACAGCTATTTTCAACACCAAGGCTGCAAGCTGTTCTCTTCTCTGTCACCTGTTCGGACCACAACAGCCTCCACAAGTTCTCCAGCGTAGAAGCGGGTCTGGATGACACGGGTTCCACAGAACAGGGTGTGTCTCTTGTGCTCCTCAACATCGTAGCTCCCAGCCGCGTCCTCGCCTGCACTGGGCAGACTTGTCTTGGTAACTGGCACGCTCTCTCCTGAAGATGGATGGACACCAAAATTCCACTGAAAACCACACCTCAAACAAAACAACAGCAGCAGAGTTGTACAACCATAATTAAAATTAATCAAACGAAATGTTACACCAAACCAAGAAAGTTCTCATGGGATGTATCAAATGCTTTCTTTTGCTCACTTTAATGAGTTTTACAGTTTTGTTTTATTCTGTGTGAAGAACTGATGCTCTATTCATATTCATAAGACGTCACATGCAGCACATTGTCGTACAGAAGTAAACATCCAGGCCACTATAGTCTGAGTTTATGGTCTCATCTATACATTTATATACGGTGGAAGACAGTGAAGCAGATAATTACAAGGATGTGGAGAAAGAGAGCCAAATTTTTAATCATGACTTTTTGTGGAGCAACTTCTGTACAGGGGTGTGTGTGGATGTGTGGTCCATGTGTGTGTGTGGTGGGATCGTGACATGAATAGCTTCGCTGAAGCAGATTTAATCCGAAAATTCAGGAAGTCAGAAGGTACTTTTAACTACATCTGTCAGGGCCTCTCCACAAGACTTTCCAAAGTCACATTTATTCCTATATGACTGCTCAGACCTGAGGTCGCATTGCAAAATATCAGACTTGTTTCTTATCTAGGACCACATATCACAGAGTCCCAAGTCAGAATTAAAAGGATTAGATTCCATGTCGTTTGTGCTGTTCACACTGATATGAAAAAAAAAAAAAAAAAAAATCTGAGCCAAATATGAGCAAAAAAATATCAGGTTTGGGACACTTGTACCTGCAGTCTGAAGTTAGTAGTTACATGTGTTGGATCATTATTTGTGATGCTGGCTATATCAGTTCATGCAGTAATTATTACTAGTAGCAGCAGTGGAAGTACAAAGACACATTGGCTGGCTATATCAGTTATGAGCACTGGTCAATAGTACAGTGAGGGCAGAATATAATATTTATATAATATTTAATACGACCTGTCAGCATGCTCTCATTCACGATGCAGGCCCCGTGGATGAGCACGGCGTCACAGGGCATGATCATCCCATTTGCTGGAATAATGATGACATCACCGGGCACAAGATCTGTTGACATGGCCTGCTCAATATCTAGAAACAACATTAAGAAGAAAGGAAACTGTGAGACATCAATAATGTGATTCATGTATTACAGAATAGCAGAAAAATAATATGTATTGTACACAACATTAAAAAAGTTAAACACTATAACGTCATCAACATTAGTCACTCCTGAATGATGATGGACAGTTCTGTGACAGTAGTAAAGACAAAGTAAAACATGCCTTTATTTCCTCTGCACACTGACACACAGACCACGCTGTGTGCTGCCACCATGTCGTGCAGCATCACATATTGCTGGAATAAGAGAGACAGTGCATCAAAAAAGTGGGAAACATACTTCTGGAAACACACAAATGGACAGGATGCTGAGAGCAGACATCTCTGGAAAGATTATTAAGATTATTTGGTTGTGCTATAACTGCATGACTCACCTTTTTAATGGTATACAGTGAGGTAGCTATTGAAATCACAGACATGAACACTATGGCTGAAGCGTAATAGTAGTAATCTTCCGCGCTCCACAGAATGACACTGAAGAGCTGGAAGATGTAGAAAGGATTCAAAACCTGATGGAGACAGAGACATACAAGATTAACAGTGATGCTGTTAGTTTGCTCAAAGAAGTGCCAGATGTGATATTACTCAAAGAGCTCTAAACTCACTTCCTTTATGAGGAGCTTGAATAGAGACGGCACTCTTACAGCAATCTCATTCTCCCCGAAAAACAACCTCCTGATGAGAGAAGGAATTTGTAAGTTTAATATGATCACTTGCCTGTGGAGGAAGTACATGTTCTGATGTTCCCTCCACAGTCAACTTTTTTCTATATTAGTAAATGAGATGAGAGACCAATCTGTAGGAAACATGAAATATGCGTATGTACCTGTAGTCCTGCAGTGTTTTAGAAAGCCCAGAGCTGTGTTCAGAGTGGATGCTTGCACAGCTCACCTTCACATCCTCCAAGCCTCTAGAAAAGTTGCACACATTCATTTCTACTGTGCAGAGCAACAGATGTACATGCAAATAATTTAGTTTATTTTAGGGATGCACGAAAATATCAGTATGTCATCGGCATCTGCTGATAAAGGCTTTAAAATAAAAACTGCCATCAGCCTGAAATGAACATGTGAATGACGCTTTAATTGTGCAACTTCAATGAGCTGAAACAGGTCACATTTGTCCTGGTTGTGACTTTTGGCAGGACTGTCTCCTGGAGGAGAGCTTGGTCTAAGCCTGTTAATGAAATTTTGATTTGAAAATGTCCGTCTTTACATCTACATCTGTCCGGACACATATAATATAGGTAATGAGACTTTAAAATAATTCAGTGTATTTTTTGGCTAACTAACTCACATCTTCCCCACAGTAACACAACATCTATACAATCAGCACAGTTTCAAAGTGGACACCCAAGATTAGTGTCACCAATTCAGTATCTGACCAAATGTCTCCTCTTCTGTTCCTGAGTTATGATGTTGAATAATGGTCAGAAAAGCATTGTTGTAGGACATTATGATCATTGACATTATGTCATCACTTCATCAAAATATCCTATAAGACATTTGTGTGAAATGTTGTCATAATAAGCTTATTAATTCTTGAGGTATGGCCAAAAACATGTTTTTGAAAACAGAAGGACTCTTCATCTCCAACATATGGACACTGGATCAAGGATCTTATGTATCATTTACAACTGGAGAAAATCTGTTGTTTAATTAAAGGATCACCTGCACCTGGAAACAATTTTTTATTTTTTTGACAAATATAGAAGCTGAAAAATTGTAATGAATGCTATACGCCCCTTACTTATCATACAAGTTGATTAATTTGTCGGAATTTTTCCCTTTTTTACATATCCACATATTTATTTATTTTTTATACTTTTTTTTTTTAATTTTTTATACATTTTTTTATTTTCATTTTTTTCTTACTTTCTTGTCTATTAGTTTTCCTTTGACTGGTCTGGCTTTCTCTGTTTGTTCCTGGGTTGATGGGTGGGCGGGGTTATCTTTTTGTCCTTACTAATTCTTCATTTGTTTATAATACTCTGTACATCTTTATTGAATTACCAATAAAAATACCTTGTTTGGAAAAAAAAAGCAAGTGGATATTTGCACCAGGTGTAATGAAATTCCCACCAGGTGTTACCGAGATATCGCATTTACGAGAACGGGACAGAGGGACGGATTGACATACGGACAGACAGAAAAACATAATTCCTCCAGCCACAGCAAAATAAGACATGTTTTACATGTAATCTAAATTAAATTTGTTTCCTGGTTTGCTCAGTAAAATGTACGCAGTTTTGAAAAGCATTGTATTCTATGTCTGCATCTGCCAGTGGGGCCATCATGATAAGAGTAGCCATAACAATTATGTAAATCCCACTATTGTAGAGACTTGGACTAAGTGGAAAAATATGTGCATATATAGGTATCGGTGTCTGCAACTTGCCAAAGTAAGTAAAAAATGTAGAATATTGGAAAGTATCAGATATCAGAAAAAAATTAAATATCATGCATCCCTAGTTTATTAAGCAGAGATAATAAACTATTTCTAAATACAAACACAATGTTTTTTAGTGGGACTCTTACTTATAAAATTCAAAGTTCTGTATGACATCATTCCAGTAGTATTTGGTGCTGTGGTGGGTGAAGTAGAGGATCTAAGAGAGAGGAGAGAGAAGGTCAGATATCGACTGTGTAACAACTATACAGATTAAACCAGCCAATTAAAAGTGTAGACTCCAGACTTAAATATCTTAAAAACCAATCAATTACTCAAAAAGTGATTTATAATAGAATATAAATCTAGAATATTGCCAAGCAACAAATGATGACAAATAAGAAACAGTTTTCCTCTGATGTACCTGAGCGGGCTGTCTCTGGGCAAATTTCCCATGATGCTCCTTGTGCGCAGCACTGATGCCCTGGTCTCCATTTGGCGGCTGAGCCGTGGACTGCAGATCCAAGCTGTCAAAGGGTTTCATCCCTGGCGCCGACATCACATGTACTTTGGCTCGAAACCACTGCCTGAACTCATCCTGTTTAATGATATAAAGAAGTGCATTTTCCCTTGGCTGTGAGATGACACTGAATTCATCATTTGCAGTGTAATTCAGTATGTGTGTGCCAAAGAATTTAACATGTGTCAGGATGATTTATGATCAGCAGCAGAGGGAGCTTAAAAGCCTGTGATGGAGAAATAGATTCATACACATATAGAGGTACAGTAAATCTAATTTGTGTTTGTTTTAGCAGGGGAATACAGCAATTTCCTACTTTACAGATGATGAATTTACATGTGTCTCCTGCATCATATATTTCTCATATGAAAACAGCAAACTAGAAAAAAATGCAATACAAATCCACTGGATAGAAAAAAGAAAGCAATTTCTGCTGTTCTCCTACCCTGGTCCTAAGCAGCAGTGTGTGTGCCTCCCTCAGCGAGGTGTGTGTGCAGGTGCCCTTGACGCCCCACTCAGGCAGCCAGTAGAGTAGGAGCAGCAGGAGACCCCCAGAGCACACAGCACCTACACCCACCAGGATCATCTTCCACAGACAGGGCTGGTAACCCCACACCTCCTGCACAGGCAGATACTCATATTAAAGAAGTATTTCACTGCTGGAAAGATCTTTGCATAAAACTGGGCTGTCTAAGCAGGAGAAAAGCGCCAGTACTTTTGAAATTGATGCTACATGACCAGAGAAAACAGAGACAAAGGGCTGTGGCATTTGCATTTGCTCAAGATGTAGAAAACCTACAACTACCAGAAGGCACTGCACCACAATGGTCCAGTAAACGCCCCTGGTGGTAGCTGACATAGGCAGGTAGGACATTATTTTCTTTAAGGTCAAAAGCAAAGTTTCAACATTTTGCAATTACATAGTCTGGGTGACATGGAGTTAATATCGGAGAGTCTATGTTAAATCACAAGTCTCCACCCCACCTGCATCAGACTTTCAGTGCCCACTAGATTATAAAACTCCACCCTTCGTGCCTGTGACTCTCTTTCTCCCTCCAAACATGCCAGGCAGGACAAGGAGAGGACTGACATGAGTGACACATAGACTTTTCACCTTTATAATGTTTTACTTTGCTAAATGTATTACTTCAAGTTACCAGATTATTTTGTGTTTATTGTTCTACGATTCCTGAGTTTAAACAGTTGTTAAGAAGAAAAAAAGAGAAATTATAGCTGCTGTGCAGCGATGGGTGAGGTCTAGGCATTTTTAGGCAATTCTGAGTAACAAGCAGAAGAATTGGAAGACATTTAGGAATTTAGCAGCACAATCTGCCTTTTTCATCAGCTGAGGCTTGAACTCACAACCTCTGAGACTAAGAATCAATTTCTATGTCACTGAGCTAATTAGTCAGTGATAATTCATGTGTAGCTTCACAAATTGACTAAGCCAGACGTGCAGGTTTAGCAGGCGTCCATGCATGGAAAAGCAGATTTCAAACCACTGTAAAAAAATTCATGAAAAACTGATGTTTAACTAGTTGAGCTATGTGCAAAGTGAGAAGCCTCAGATGGTTTCACACTGAAGTATTGACACTGGATCTTTGTGCACAGTTTGGTTTATTTTCAAGCATGAGAAGGCAGATTTTCCAGCAGAAAAAAGACTTGAAGATGCTGCACAGTGATCAGTCACGCTCAGGCAATTTTAAGCAATAAGCTGGAGCACAAGATGACATTTACATTACAATGTGGATTCTGCACCTGTTGAGGCTCGAATCCACAACCTCTGGAACCTAAGACAGTCATCCACCGCTCTGAGCTAATTGGCAAGTAGCAACTCAACAGTGGCTTCACAAACTGAGTAAGCCATTCACTGTTGTGTAGGAAAGCAGCCATCCGTGCATGGAAAGGCAGATTTGAAACCACTGTAAAAAATTCAGTTATCGAAAATACACATATTGCATCTAGACAGCATGGAGATGTTGGTAATTTGTTTGTAACAATGATTGATTTGCTCCATAAGTGAAAAACTGATGTTTAAAATTGCCATTTTTACATTGACTCCAATTGTTCACATTAGAGCAAAATTCAAAATGCTGTCAAAAATTCAGTTGTTGAGATAAAATTCTGAAATTTGCCACACATCATCTACCATGACTCTAGAATTTTGTCATTTTTTCATGAACATTGAAGATTTATTTAGCAAGAATTTGCATGTATATGTTTACAGTACCGTTTACAGTCAAACATTTTGATGCACTGTAGGCTCAATTTTTGATAAATCAAAAATCTCAGTCTGAAGATGCTCTGTTGCAAGTTTGGTGTCAGTTGAGCAAAAATTGTGGGAGGAGATAGGTTAAGAAATTTTACAGTTTTTGAAAAAAAACAGAGTGCTGAACTTCATAATTTTTAATAGGTTTGTGTGTACCAAAGTTTCTTCAGGATTGGGGCTACAGTTTGATGAAAGTTGTGAAGTTGTAGCACGTATGGTTGATTTGTTATGAATTTTCAAAGTTTTGAACTTTAGACGCTTGCTGTAGCGCCACCATCAGGACTATTGGCTTGAGTTTACAGCTGAGGATATCTGGCATGAGACTGGACCTTTGTGCAAAGTTTGGTGAGTTTTCACCCATGGGAAGTATGATTTCCTCGGAAGAAGAAAGAAGAAGAATACCTAGCTGCCCGGACCCTAATTACATAGTGGATGCACCCAAGATGTGAGTTAAAAGATTAATTTACTAATACTATTTTTTATCAGTATTATTGTTTAACACTATACAGAGCTGTAATGTTTTCTTTTAATAATTCCTTTTTACAGAAAAAAACATCTGACAACCACCTGAAAACTGCACATCCACCATGTCTACAATTAAGAAACAGCTCCCTGGATACTGTGTTTGAATGTGCACCCCAACGTCAGATGTTCTGTGAGCCAACAGCAGCGTAACTATGCAGTTTTTTCCGGTCTATGTACACCTATCTAATATAAGTGGTGTCTTTTCTTAAGTTTTTTGGGTCAATCTTGTCAACAAAGAGCTTTTGAAAATGATATTTTTATGTATTATACCTGTATTTGGGGTACTACTACCTCACACACATATTCTTTTGCTTAAGTTTCCTCTTACAGGAAAACTTATAGTTTTTCTTGACAAAAATGAGGAAGTACAATCTGTAGTTCATGCAACTGCCCTAGAGCCAGCAAAAGCCCATCGGATGACGCGAAACACATCATTGAGAGGATCTGAGATATGAGATGAGCAGGGAGATCTGGCTGCTGGTAAGAAGTTTACCACGGATAATTTACACACACTACCCGCATTTTTATGATACAAAGCTGGTTGAAAATCTGCCAAGTCTTCCTTTACCAAAACTTTTTAAAAGCAGACATTTTGATTTGTCACAGTAAAAATTTAAGTGTTCCAGTAAGCCATGGCAGTGTGACAGTGAGTCAGCATGGAGAGTACCTGGACCCTGAAACTGAAGCAGCTAAATGAATTCAGCCATCTTTGCTTTTTATTTTAATCTACACTGATACAAATGACTTATGTCCTCTAAAGGCAACATACTATGATTCTCTAGTTATGTTTTTTGATTGACATCCTCCATTTCCCTCCAAACACGTCAAAATCACACATCAAACTTTAACAACACAAAAGGTGAGCGTTTAATGATACACTGTTCATTAGAAAAGACAATTATATGGTGAAAGAAGCATTAAAATTGGAAGTGATATTTACCATCTCATCCTCCAGACCCTGGTTTATAATCTTCCCCTCTCTCGTCTTCATTCTGTCAGAAGTGCAACAGCTGCAAAGAAAGAGAGATCAACTTCATTAACTTTACTTTACTTGGCTTGGGCTTTCTTATCATAGATGTCGCTGACTCTGTCTGGTCAGCAAAGATGTCGCAACTTCAATATCGGTCAATTCAGTTTTATGACTTCTGAGGCAAAAACAAAGCCCAAACGGGGAGAGGAAGTCAGTGATTCATTTACTTTGTATAGAGCAGGTCATTATTCCTCACTGGAGACGAACAGAAGAAGTGGAGTGTGTTTGTATAGCATTAGACATAAAGACTGAATTAGGGGAAAAAAACATATCTACTTTGTAAATAATGAGCTGGAGAGAAAGAAGATCTCTTGCAAGTAACAACCTGAGTAAACCGCAACACCTACCTACCTTCAAGGCAGCCACGTGAACAGGCACTGTGGTCAAAGCCTCTGGTGATAACAAGAAAACAGACTCAAGATGGAGACTGAAGTACGGCCTCATTTTGGCTTGACTGCACTGACTATATTCAATGTAATGTCCGATCTGTAGGATTTTAACTGAGCATAACCTAACAACTCCATCTATCTGCACAGAGTGAGAACAAGTCATTAAGGTGATATGGTGTTGTGTTAGGCAACAATCCAGCGCAGAAAGGCTGTCATACATGAAAACCTTTGCACTGTGCTCACATGTTTTTGTTCAATAACTGTCACACCTTCAGTAATGTTTGACTCCCAGTCAGAGCGACCTGACTCCTTAATAAGCACCATCATGTATGAGGTAGTTTAGTAAAAAAAACACTTCTAGGGCTTTTCTCCTTTTCTCCCATCATATTAAAACCAGGAGCAGTGTCCCCTCATGAGGGCTGACGGTGGTGGCAGCATCACGTAGTGCTGCTGATGCTTCTCCACCGCAGGTTCAAGGAAATAAGGCAGTAAAACAATTGCAACAAAAATAAAGAGAAACCCTGTTTGAAAACTTGCTGCAGTCTGCACGCCAACCGGGACTTTGGATAAGATTTATTTCCCAGGCAGACAAAGACCTCAAACATAAACCCAAAGCTACGCAGGGCTGGCTTCCAAACAACTATGTTAGAGTCCTAGAGTGGCCAAAGGAGAGTCCAGATTTCAATCCAATCCTGAAATTAAGGCAGGGTCCCCACTACAAATCAGGAACATTTAAAGCTGTGGTGGAGAGGAAAAGGACACTGAACAAACTGTTATCCATGAGGCATAATCCTGTCCACCCTCTCCACCTCCTACTGGACAGACACTGGAGCGCTTTCTCTTTCAGACTGGTCCAGCTTCAAAAGTGAAAAATAGCAAACTGCAGGAAGTTTGTGCAATTTGGATGAATTGGGGGCAAATTTATTGTGAGTATTATATTAGAGATGAGATTTCCTGTTATTTTGAGTCACTTTCATACAATTTTCTGTCTGTATTATGTTATTTTACATATTCAATAAGCGTCTTTTATTGTTGTTATCATTTTATTGTTTTAATAGCTCACGTACTCTAATGCAGGACGAAGCTGTTTAGCAGAGAGTGAAGGCTCTGTGATCATAGCTTGTGTTCTGGTCTTCATTGTGCCTTTATGCTGTGAGATTTTCTTACATTTTAAAGTTAAATAACGTCAGCACAGTGGTGCAGTGGTTAGCACTGTTGCCTCGCAGCAAGAGGGTTCCCGGTTCAAACCCCCCATCCAAAGACATGCAGGTTAATTGGTGACCGTAGGTGTGAATGTGAGTGTGAATGGTTGTCTGTCTCTATGTGTCAGTCTCTATGTGACCTGTCCAGGTGTACCCCTCTCGCCTAGTGACAGGGTCCAGCTCCCCTGTGAACCCCAACAAGATAACCGGTTATGTAACACGAATGAACGAATGAACTAAAAAAAATAGGAATTTCATTTAGTTTTCTTAACAGAAATGAAAGCAATTCTGAGATATCCCTTAAAGTCATGATGCCGTTGCCCCTGTGAACCTTTGCAACACATGGTGGGGGTCAGGACTCTGAGGTTGGGAACCACTGTGCTGAGGATTTCTTTTCTATTGACACTGATAGATATACTAATATGTGTACTACTGTGTTTTTACTGCTTTTGTGCAATGCCTAAATAGTCTGCTGCTGTAACATAAGACTTTCTCAGAGTTGTGTCAATAAAGTATGCCTACATCTGTCTGTCTATCTATTTCAACTGGATAGCACTTTATACCTAAGTTTACACATTACAGATTCCAGATGAGCAAATTTATCTGCACAGACTCAACTGTAACTGCTGCAAAAGGTGCCTCCACTACATACTGCCTTCAGGGAGCCAGTACAAACATTGTTTTTTGTGCTTAAGGTTCAAGGTTCATTATTTATTGTCACATTACAACACAGGGTGACACAACGAACTGCAGTTATAGTCACTTTATGTAACACAAGCAAAGTTACACAGAACTCATACTGCACTCCTGCAGTGTGTGCTTGTGTATGTAAATTCAGATTAGAGTTTTCACACCTACAAATGTTGTAAGTGTCTGCAAATCCCATTAAACCCTACATAATCAGGGTGTCTACAAATATAACCAAGTTAAAGACTTTTAAGACCTTTTTAATACCACTTTATATTAAATTTACGACCAAACCTGCAATGGAAATACACATCGTGTGTGTGTGACACATGTGTAAGTTCTCTTTTCAAGTAAGCAACAGTTGGGTGAGTTTAAGTATAATGTGCTTATAAAAATGCTATTTCATATTGCAGTTCTTCGGTCCGTCCAGTGATTGTAAATCTGAACTCAACAACTGATGACCTTTTAAAGCCTTATGTTAAAGAAAACTTAATTCAAGACATTTCAGGACTTTTTAAGGACCTGTAGACACCCTGGTGATTCAAAGCTGTGAAATAGTAAAACACAGAAGGTGGATACTTTTTAAAGACACTGATCAGCTCCTGTGCTGTTGGTATAATGTTAGTAAGGACACGCTTTAAACCCGAAAACCGTTAAGTTAGACGTGTCCCTGCACAGGGGAACACAAACATTTGCACACAGTTAGAACACTGGACCTGATCGCACCAAATAGTAACTGAGGATGAAGCGCAGTTACTCTCACATCACATAGAACAACAATCTATACAAACACCGTGTCAATAACTCATGTGCATTAACTTACCGATGCCTCTCCGCTTCTCTATCAATGCATGACACGTTACATAGTCAGTTAGGTGACTGCAGCGTTGCGTTACCAGTTTGCCCGCGTGCCCTCTGCAGCCGTGCAACACTGTGGATCTTCACGTGTGTCTGAAGACACGCGCCGACACAACACAGATCCACGCTGCGCTGGCACCGGACCGTCCCAAACCGGTCCATTCAGAAGGAAGTGGGGAAAACAGGATGTGAGGTCACTAAAGGACACCGTGTTTGGGCCCCAATTTCTGCACTAAACACTCGGGGAGCTGCAGCGACATGTGCAAGAAGCAGAAGAGAGACAGGCTACATGTAGGCCTATCCTCCATTCTCCTTTTTACTGCCTCTCTGCCTAACAATGCAAGATTTAGTAATGGGCGCCCACTGGTTGGAGAGTACGGGATGTTTAGCTGTGGGACTGGTGTTATTTCAGGTCAGTGGCAGAGAAGAAATAGTGTGTGAGTTGGCTGAGATTTCATCAAGTCCTGGGATAACCTTTTGGGACTTAATCACAGATGTTACAACAAAACTCAAAAGACACAGCTGGTGTGGTTTTAAGGTATTTTTATTTTCATATCAGGAATAAATTTAACCAACAAGTCAGTGTTCTTTCGTGTGTTTTAATAACAATCATGAAATTATTGATTTAAAGTACAAAATAGAACAGATTAAATTACAAGGTGTCTCCTGTCCTACAAACAGCACTATACACATTTCACACACTTGCACACACCAAGTGAGACTTCACCAGGTATTCAGGGGTTTGAAGCCATTTTTCTTTTTCTATTATGTTGTTAAAGATTATTTTTTGGGCTTTTTTTTGCCTTTAAGGACAGAACAGTTTGAGGCATGAAGGGGAGAGAGAGAGGGGGGGTGACATGCAGCAAGGACTGCATACTGAAATTAAACCCGAAGCTGCTGCAGCAAGGATGCTGCCTTGGTGCATGGGGTGCCCGCTCTACCCACTGAGCTACTGAGCGCCTAGGAGCCAATATTCATAGTGGCCAAACAGTGGAATGACAACTTCTGGGTCCGTCACGTGTTGCCATGTGGCCCAAAAAGACTTTTTCCCCTTTGACTTACATGGGGAAAGAGATGTCTGTGAGTTAGTGGATACTAATTTAGTTTACATTAGTGGATACAGAGCCACACAATTGAATTATCTTATCCCCAATCACACTAATGGAGCAGTAAACTGGAGGTCGCAGGCTCAGTCAGCAGATTGCAGAACCAATGTGCCACTGAGTGACTTTCATAGGAATGAACTGGGCCCTATCACCAATGCTGTATCCAGTTCTCTTTATACATCCATGATTTTCACAAGCATAAACTACTATCCCTATTTAATTTTTTGTTAGGCGGCTACCTCTAGTGGCCATTATAATTAATAAAGGAGCAAAGGAGGAGGTCAGCAAATGAAGCATTGGACATAGTGCTAGAGGAGGAGCCCTGTTCATTTCTATGAAAGTACCTTAGTGCCACATGAAGGCAAAAAGTTCAATTTAAATTACTCTGACGTCTGGGGTAAACAACATACACAGAATGAATCAAACCCTGATAGTGTAACGGTTCAAATTTGCAAGGGTTGTGGTTGTGACACTTAAAAAAAAAAAAAAAAAAAATTTCCCATACCCTTTTTCCCATAGAGTAACATGGGGGAAGAGACCTCTGAAAACGATAAACAGTTTTTTGAGCGTCACAACGCCACCAAAATGACTCATTTCACTATCACAATTTGATCCATTAGGTCTGATGAAGTCTACAGGAGCCATACAATTACATCATTTTCATCCCCGTGATGAGTCCAACAAGCACTTGACTTTCATCCAGGAGACTGGTCTTCATGTCCCGTGTGAAACCAAAAGTCAACATAGGGTTATTTTAACAACAGTAAACGTATGTCATTCGATATATGTCACAAACTTATTTTAAGGCAAACCACGATGTTTCCTCGAAACCTAACCACGCAGCTTTGGTGCAACTGCAACCGCTTCATAACGTCACCCACAGGTTTTAAACTGCAACCATTAACTGTCACGCGAGCTACTCTGTCATCCACTGGTAGCTGTGATCATTTAGGAAACATTCCTGTGGTTCATTTACAGAGGAATGAACGGAGGACATTCGGGGGTGGAGGACTTGTTATTTCCCAGCATTTTAACAGCTTTCTTTGGCATGCGAGCTGCAAGTCCTTTATCTGGAACAAAAAAAAAAGATTATTTTTACTCAAAAACCATCAAACCAAAACAGCCAAAAGTCAAAGTCAGTTCAATGGCATAGAGTAACAGTCTCGTGCTATTTATGGAGTTAAGAGAAAATAAAAGGAAAAGAAAAACATAATTCTCTGTGTTCATCAACATAACCAACCCTTTCACATCACTAGTGGTCATTTAATCGATTGTTAACACAAAAAAAAAAACAATAACCAGTGCAGCTCGAAATCTACATTTATATCAGATTTTACTCCCTGCCAAATGATTTGGAAAAATACAACTGCAATGAGACTTTGATACACAAGTTAGACTCAAAGAGTTACCTCCTCTGCCGTGTCCACCTTTGCCTGTGCTTTTCCGCCCACCTTTGTCACCCGCCAGACCTAAGATCGGTCCACGACGTGGCTTGCTGGGGCGTCTTGTACGGTTTGCGCCAGGCATTTTTGCGTAAGTCACAGTCACTTTGCTGCCGTCTATCTCACAGTCCTCCATGGCTTCTTTGACAGCTTTGCAAGCGTCTTCACTATCAAAGTCCACAAAACCGTACCTGGGAAACATGTAATGTGACACAAGTCAGTGTAAAGCAGGCTTCCAGAATAACTAAAAAACATTTAAGTCCCCCTCTAGACATGATTTAAAGTATGTGACAATACTCTGATATGATTCATATTTTGTTTAACATGGTTTTCCGGCATAAAGTGGAAAAAAAAACAGTGACTGGCTTTTGTATTAGTGATGTGCCTAATGTAGTTTGCCCAGGATACATCTGAATCTCAGATTTTGGGGAAGTACACTGACATCACCTCTCGAGTGACAAACTCTGCAAGTCATTTTAGGGGACGTAAACAGAGGAAAAACACATTTTGGAATGGAGCGGGACCTTCAGCTCTTTATAACTATGACAATAAAAGGTTAACTTTGGGCTACCCACCTTTTTGAAACTCCTGTGTCTCTATCTACACTGATTCTTGCACTCACAGTGCCTTCAAAAACACTTTTAAGAGTCTCTGCGGTTGTCTTGTCAGAAAGGCCCATCACAATCAGTGTTGTCTTGACTAAAGAGGGGGAGAAAACATTGATCATGACTCAAACTGACTTTAGAAACACTTGAGATTATTTTGCGATCAAATATTAGATGACAGGGAACACCTACATGAATAATATGACATGAACAATCCCACATACCTTTTTGTGTCTCTGCTTTTGCTTTCATTGCAGCGAACTGTACTCTGATCAGCTTTTTGCCCATCTTTACGTTTTGGGTCGACTCCAAGGCCTTTCTAGCCTCTGCCAAATTTGCAAACGTGACAAATGCAAACCTGCAATGGGTTACAGATATTTCTTGAGATTAGTCGAATACTTTCTTCATTGGGGAAAAACAATAACAAGTAAGCCAGTGTACATGTACGTACCCCCTTGCCTTGCCCTCGTGCTTAGGTAAGCTGATATTTGTGGCATTCTGAAAGAGTTTATTGAGGGTTTTCTTTTTCACATCAGGAGGCAAATTATGCACAAATAAGGATTTATTTGGAGGAGCTGCAGCTGTGAGAAAAAGGAGAAACTTTTTGTCAACGCATGTAATCTACAAATCTAGATTTAAAGAAACAGAGTATTCCTTTAGTTGACTGATGTTAAGATAAAAAAGAGAACAATTCAATAGTTATACTATCATATCAGGTATAGACAGTAAATGAAATATCTAGTGATTTACCTTTAGTGACTGTTGCTCCAATACGGTCCACAGTCAAAATTCTGCCTTGGAGCTGGACTCCTTGTTTTCGCTGCCATAGTCTCCTAGCAATAGTTTTATTCTGAAACTCCACAAAGGCAACACTGTTGAAAAAAGAGGACATTTCATTCAGTATGGATTACAAATATCAAACAAATGCATACTGCTGTTTTTAACAATCATCATACCCATGGCATTACTAAATATAATTAATAACGCTTGTTTTGCATACATTTGTATATTTATGAAGGGAACCCCAAAGGGACAGTTCACCCCAAAATCTAATATACATATTTTTCCTCTTACCTGTAGTGCTATTTATCAGTCTAGATTGTTTTGGTGTGAGTTGCAGAGTGTTGGAGATATCAGCTGTAGAGGTGTCTGCCTTCTCTCCAGTATAGTGGACTAGATGGCATTCAGCTTGTGGTGCTCAATACGCCAAAAACGGCAATCTGAGCACCACAAGCCAAGTGCCATCTAGTTCCATTATATCGGACAGAAGGTAGACATCTCTACGGCTGATATCTTCAAACAATATGCATTTTTGATTTGGAGAACTGTCCGTTTGATGCAGGTTTTTAAAACTCTCACCCTTTCTCTGGCCTCTCGGTTCCACCAAGAAACCTCACGTTGATGGCCTTGCGGAAGATATTGAGAATGTCGTCTTTTGTTGCCAAGTACGGGATGTTCTTCACAAACAAACATTTTCCATCTTTGGCTTCTGAAATCAGGACAGTCCTCAAGTCAGATATTCAATCTTTTTCAATCTCCTTGGACTTTGTAATGTTAAAAACTCTCAGATCATCTCGTCATTAGTCCATTGTTTTAGCAGTTAATAAAGAAAAAAAACATAGAACTTAAATGTGTAATGAAACTGTTATATTCAGCTGATTTACCCTTTTGGTCCTCAACTGAAGCTTTCACAATCTCCTTAGTTACGACCCTTGCTCTGGCGATCTCCATTGGCTTGCCATCCAGCATTTCTCCATTACACTTCAAGACTTTGGTCAAGTCCATCTCTGAGGCCAAATCTACATATGCAAATTTTCTACAACAGCAAAACATTACCTTTGAGTTAATTTAATATTTTAAGTAGCAGCAACATTCATTCCAAGTAAATGTGACAATCAATGTCAAGTGACAAATTTTAGAAACATTTCCATGACTTTTCAAGGACCCATAATGAAATTTCCATGACCACTCACAATATATAACACAAACAGAACTGTATAGTACTTATATGGTATAGTACAAATGTTAAATGATCATAGGTGGTCCACAGACAGTGAGCAGTAGAGCTACCAGAGTGGAGGAGTGACAGTCAACAGTTTGGCCCATAAGTTAATCTGCTCCGTACCTTCGAACTACCACACTCTACTTTCAGAACAGTTAAAACAAAACTGAAGTGTGCACTGGTGCTTCAAGGGACAACTGAGCGTCCTAACCCATGTCAACATCTCACAAATGTGGTACCATTTAAAAATAGTGTGAGGCACGTGTATGGAAGCGTTGAATCACACTATCACATTATTTATCTTGCCCCACTTGCTTGGCGTTATTTAAACATATCACATTCAAACTCGACTGTAGCAAGCGAACATGCTCTCTGCGGTCATTTTGACTTGACCAGCAGACTTCACTACAAGTCGACTGGCTGTTGATCTGCGGAGCTAAATGGAATGTGAGCTCGCGAGATCAGGATGGTTTCACCAGGCTAGCATGTGACACCATCAGCCGGCTTGAGTCGAGCTCAGACCAGCCAGTCCACACCTCTGCAACTTTTCTCTGCAACATTCTAAAACTGTTTTGTCTCGTAGTGAATCTTTGGTCTGAACTGGGCTTAAGTCTTTGCACTCAAGCGTCAAATCAAGTCAGGCAAGTCACGAATCAAATCCCCAGTCATAACTAACAAGTCCCAAGTCCTAAACTTTGAGTTTCCAGTCTTGAACAAGTCAAAATGTGCTCTTCTCCAAATGTAATGCCATTTTTAGAAGATTTAAGTTGTTAAATCAACTTTATTTAAAGAGTTGCTTAGTTGTTAACCTAACGTTAGCAACAGATTAGATTACTGTGTTAACATTAGCATCTACTGACCGTTCTTTGTGCAACGTCAAATGAAGTTAGAATTTGTTGTGTCTCTGTCTGTAATTTTTGATCTGCAAGTTTAACTTACTCTAATTCGTTTTTTGCTGACTGCTGCTAGGTTTTGTTTGCGAACAAAATTATCTTTGGTAACAATATCATTTTTCTAACTACTGCACAGTAAAACAATTTTGTTTGTTAAATATCATACATTTTAATCTTTGGGCCTGGGGGAAGATATCAAGTATTTAATTCAAGTCACAAGTCCACCACTCATTGGTGTTAATGTCTGAGTCAAGTCTCAAGTCTTTTCAGATTTTGTGAAGTCGAGTTTAAAGTCATGGAATTTGTGACTTGAATATGACTCGAGTCCACACCTTTGTGTGACGGTAAACCAGATGTCACCTAACAGCTACAGGAAATAATTTCACGTTTACGTTACATTACACGGAAGGTTATCCACGGACAATTACTCTAACAATTTAGTTCCTCTAATTCCACGTCCTTTCCGGGGTTTCCATGACCATGAGATCCATGCTAGTGTAGGATGTCCTGCCCACAGCACCCTCACAATAAAAACTAAGTCAAAGAACAAACTCACCTGGACTGATCTACTCTGATGCCATTGACCAGGACACTTTGTGTCATGAGGTACTTTGCTAACGAATCTTCGACTTCTGCACGTTTTTTGGATTTATCCAAGTTGCCAACAAAAAGACAAAAACCTGCAACGAAATAAGACAGTTAAATGTGTGAGGGCACAAATATATCAGGCACCTTACAGAACAAAGCATTTAGCTTTCTGTATTATTTTAAGTTCATACCTGTATTGATACATTTCTTGTTCTCTGGTTGGGGGGTCTCAACAGCAGCATGTTGCTTCTGTTTCCCTTTTACTGCAACTGAAAGAAAATGTTTTAACTATGTCATAAATACAAAACACAAGTCAACTCAAATAGCAGACTGTGCAGGAAATCTTGTCTCCCCTTTTTTGGTCCTACACACCCACTGAACAACAGCATTGAAAGTGTCATACCTTTATTGACGGGCTTGGTTTTCTTGGATGGGGAGGTCTCAGCAGTCGAGTGTTTCTTCTGTTTCCCTTTTACTGCAACTGATAGAAAAGAAGTCAGTACAAATAGCAGATGGTGTGCAGGAAATCTTGTCTCTCCTAACTTTTTTGTTCCTGAACACCCATCATTAAGACTTAATGCTGTTTTTCAAGACATGATATGTAATCTGCCTCACTGATCTTTGTCTTGAAAGTGTCATACCTTCACTGATGACCTTAGTTTTCTTTGATGCGGAGGTCTCAGCAGTAGAGCGTGCCTTCAGTTTCCTTTTTGCTGCAACCAAAAGAAAATGTTATAACTGAGTCGTAACTAAAATTAAGCACAAATGGCAGACGGCATGTAGGGGTCTTGTCTCTCCTTGTTTTTTTTAGTCCTACCAGCCCGTCATTAAGATTCAGATGTAATTTACATTTATCTTTGACATAGAGTGGCATGGTTATGGCCAAAATGATAATCCCAATTATTATGACCAAAACTGAGATCACGATTATTCATTGAATTTGGGGACAAAATATCTTTATTGCACTTGACATTTAAATAAACAGAGAGCTGCTTTCACTTCCATGTTGTACTACATTCCTACGTTTTTGCTTCAGAGTATAAGGTTCTTCTTCACCTGAATTCTGTGCATCGCCTCGAAGTAAGGTGTTTATTTTACACACATCTTTGGCCAAATGGAATGTGAGTGTTGTTATTTCAGTCTGCCTTTGGGAGCTGGGCTGACAGGATGTTATGGATGTCTAAGTTGATGCTGGACAAGCATGAAGATTCTGTGAGGTAACTAGCAACATTAGTCCTCTTGGCCTTCATGCATTCATCGTACTGCAGTTTGTGGTGTTTTTTCAGGTGTTTGAACAAGTTAGTTGTGTTACTTTGCGGCACAGACACAAGTCTAATGCTGTCTAAATCCATAATACTAACAAACAACGTATAATGATCATACACTATGTAAAATAATGGATACAGCCTCGTGTTGTCACCCACTGGTTTGTGGCTAGAAGTGACTGTATCTGGACAAGAAGGAGGATTTGACTCGCGGGCTGTGGTGACACCTCACAGATAGTCAATAGTCATGAATGTTGAAATTAGCTATAGAGACCAAACCACTTTCTGTACCAGGCTGTAAACATGTTAATTTTTGCTTTAAAGTTTGGCATTTTTACATGAACTTAGGTACACCTGGGTACATCTAATTTTTGTTTTGCCTGTCTGCTCTCTGTTCTATATCAGTCTTCTACTCTGAACTGCAGCCACAATGTTCAGGAAAGTTTTTCAAGAGCTGCTGCTGCAGGGTGTGCACACAGCGACATGACAGCTGCCATTTAGCAAGTGCTTAGAGTTTTCTGTAAGTGGAGGATGCATTTTAAATGTCAATATTGCAGTTGATCATGTTTATATAATTGTGGGAAGCCAATATCAAGATTGAATATTTAATAAAAAAAAAAAAAGTGCAGCCCTACTTTGTCTCTGAAATTAATTTCACAAGGATCAGGTAAATTATGTCTCAGATATTACGGAAATGTTTACAGTAGTATTTACAGCGAGCCAATCTTGTCTCAAAATTACCTGTTGAAAGACCATTTATAAGCAGTTTTTATGACATTTTAACAAATTGTGGAAAATGTGAAACCTTGCATTACTTTTTTGGTAAAATCAGAGAGACTGACTTCCTAGTGTCTGAAGGCTGCAGAGCATGAAAAACTCCCTTTCCAAGGACAATTTGGTAGAACATTAAAAGCCACAGCACATACTGCCAATTTTAATTACAGTTTAGAGTTTTAACATTTTGTGCATAGTGCAAGGTGCAATGCTACAGCGCCACAAGGAGGAGACACATCCCCATTACACATCTTTTGCTGCTGTGAAAAGTTGTGATGATTTTGTGTGAGTAGGACAGAGACAGGAATAACTAACTACTTGACACTCTTTGAAAATCCTTACCTGCTTTCTTTTCAACAATCATCTCTTCACCTCCGTTGGTTTCCTTTTCAAGATCATTGTTCTCTCCCTCCTCATTCTCCTTTTCCAGGCTTTCAGTTACTCTGTCCGTACTTTCAGCGACAACGTCCATCTGAGATTCTAAAGAGAAAGCACTATCACTGGCACCGCTCAGATTTTCACTAAGACACTTTTGTGTGGTGTCGTATTTGCAGTACCTCCAGATTCCTGGATCTCTTGCTTCATCTCTCTCTCCGCACTCTCATTGGGAGCGTCTTCTGTGGAGCCAACTGCATCAGCTGAAGAGATATTCTGAGTCATGATTCAATTTAAAGACTAAAAACCAGTAATGCCATTTTCTTTGCAGCCTCCATTCCAGCTTAAAGGTTAATTCAAGTGTTTTTTTAGCCTGTACTCTATGTTTCATGTTTTGCATCTACGGAACTGATGAGAACAGCAATTTCTGAAACTGGTCCAGTACTGAGCAAGTTAGCAGTGGCGAAACAGGCTGCAATGTGACCTCTCAGGACATTTGGCACTATCAATTTACGTCCACTATAAGTGCTTGTTTTTGGCACCGAATGACTCAGATTGTTATTCAAAGTGTCTGACAACATTATGGAAAGGCTCCCTAAAGAGTTAGACCTTTTTGTCAAAGAATAAGACCAGAAACAGCCCCAAAATCGCTATTGCCAAACCCAACAGACTTCATTCAAATTCATTTTAACGTGCATAGAGCCAGCCTATTTTCACATCTAACTGGGCAAATTGATGGTTTGTTTCAATCAAACCAGAGTTAGTGGTTGTTAGAAAAGTGGAAAGATGACACAGACAGTTTTTGTGAATTTTATTTTGTTTCTGTCGACTTTGAACAAAGTGGGATTTACAATGATAAAATTATTGTTAATTTAAATGTAGTCTGGTGGGTTTGGCAATGGTGATCTTGGGGCTGTTTCTTGTTAAACAAAAAGGATATTGTTCCATGACAAAAAAGTCTATCTCTGTAGGGATACTTCCATAATGTTTTCAGACACTGAGAATAACAATCTGAGTTTGTCAGTGGCACAAACAAGCACTTTTAGTGAATGTAAGCTGTAAAATTCCCCATGTGGTGTAAACTGACTGCCAAGTTCCCCATGTGGTTACATTGCAACCTGTTTCATTGCGGCTGACCACAGCAGTCTTTCTCAATACACAAAAACGTGGGAAAATTGGGTCCCGGTTGAAAAATGCCAAAGTCACCCTTTAAGGAAATGGAGCATTGCTTTAAAACTGAACGAAGTGCAGCCACTTTTGGTCTCAACACACATATTTAAATACAGTTTAACATTACATCTTAAACTTAAATGACAAGAAACACATTTGATTAGGAACAAATGACAGTAAGTGTAATTCATACATGACTAAAGACATGTAATTTTGAAAATAGAAATAAGAAGCAGAAGAAGAATGTGATGCAACAGTGGGTTTTGATTCTTGTAAACATCCTTACCACTATCCATCATCTGATCACTTCCGTTGGTTTTCTTTGCCGTCTTCTGGTCCCAGGATACAGTCACAGTGGACACATTTCCTTTAACTTCGATGACAGTGTCCATCTGAGAATCTAAAGATGCAGCTTTGTTATTGGCACAGCTCAGACTCTCAATCAGACATCATGTGTATGTGTTTGCAATACCATCTTCATCTTGGTCCTCCTTGGGAGCATCCTCTTCTGTCCCAACTTGTTCTTGTCTTGGAGAGACGGTCTCTGTCTGTCCTTCTGAAACAACCATGAATGATTTAACATTGTCTTTATTACGTCCAAACAGTCATGTTTAGTGTAGATTCTCAGTTGTTTAAAAGAAATGACTTACCAGTTTTAGCGCTGTCCTCTTCTTCTACAACTTCATCTGCGACAGCTTTGCTTCGTCTTTTGCGTGCTTTAGCCTGAAAAAGACAAATACATTTGTTAAGTTATGACCCTGTGTGACTGTGTGTTCGTGTGAGCAAGGCTGCAACCCAACTTTATTTACAATATTAATTGAATTGTCTTTTTGTTTAAGATTTCTCTTTAACATCGCTTAAAACACTGTAATATGCCCATAACCATTTCCCAGAGCCCAAAGTTATATCTTCCTATCACTTGTGTTGTCTGACAAACTACCAAAATATTCAAATTATTAATGTGCTAATACAAGATAAGATTATCCTTTATTCGTCCCACAGTGGGGAAATTTGTAGCTTATCCAAATACAGATATGGCTCATGAGCAATGATTGAATGTCCATGGTTTTAGTATGTGTGGTCTACTGTGGGAGCAGTGCTGGTTATAAAGTCTGACAACAGCAGGAAGGACCTGCAGTATCTCTCCTTCAGACTGTCAAGAGTGTCCTGCATGGGGTGGGACATGTTGTCCATAAGGGATGATAGCTTGGCTATCATACTCCTTTCTCCCACCACCTCCACCGGGTCGACGGAGCATCACAGGACAAAGCTGGCCTTATTTAGCAGTCTGTTGAGTCTCTTCCTGTCAGCTGTCAAGATGCTGCTGCCCCAGCAAACCACTCCATAGAAGATGGCTGCTGCCACCACAGAGTCATATAGAAGGTCCTCAGGAGTGTCCCCTGTCCTCCAAAGGACCTGAGTCTCCTTAACAGGTAGAGTCTGCTCTGTCTACTCTCAAACTCCTTAAACTAGGTCTGGTATTATGTCTTGATAACTAAAACTTTCAACTGCTTATCAAAATTGATTTTAAAGTAACTTCTGTCAACTAGTCAACCAGTCGACCAATAAATTAGCCCTACATGAGTGTACATATTTTACCTTTATTTAACCAGATAAGTCAACTGAGAACTATTTTATAATGACGAGTTACGTGTAATACCGTTACTATGAATGAGTACTCACATGCTAAGCAACAGTTAGCTTGTTAGTTTGCAGCTAATACGACCAAACAGCAGTTAGTATGAAACACTCTACTCAGTGCACGTTGGAGCCTGGTTTATTTAAATGTAAAGTAACGTAGTCCTTACGTCTGTCTTTGCCATGGTTCGTGTCGCAGCACCCAAAGCTTACAAGCAGATGTAGCTTCTTGTAGCCGGTGAATGTGAGCACACGTTTTTTCAGCTAAAAACATCCACATGCGGCTGTTTTACACTGCGCATGCGTACTGTACTACGGAGGCCGGCAGGGGTATCAATTTATGCGATTCAGCGACAACAACTTACTTTCGGATTCTCCCCGCCGACACTGGTGTATGGACTTGACTGCTATGAGCACAACTTCGGTAAATATGGGGTCGCAGCGGTTGATTTTAAGCATTATTTGGAGTTTTTTGAAGCAAATAACGGCTCAATTCGGCTTCATTTTGTGACAGCTAGTTAGCTAAGTAGCCAATTAGCTTAACGTTAACTACACGGTTGAGTTGGTCAACTCCCATTTACAGTTATGTGTTTCAGCTCTCCACCAGAGCCGACTTTAATCTCTGTAAATCTGACTTTAAGAATAACTGAGCCTCGTCACGTTGTGTTTTTCCATATAGCACTGTGTTAACTCTTAGCTTCAGTTTTACGTGCGTAATTTTCCTAGTTTATACACATTAAGTCGCGTTGTTGTAGTGAACCTGAGATCATGTCATTACCAACGGCTGTTTCTATATAAGTGACATTAAAGCAGCTGACACTTGACTCAAACAGGTAGAACTGGAACTGGGTTTTGAAGAACTGGCTGTGCAAAGGTTGAGTTGCAGAATCAACACGACGTTTCACCTGGTGCAGATAAGGCATTATCAGGTCAGGTCATCCATACAGGGTGTAAACAGCACCAATATGAGCTGACCATGGAGGATGTGGGACTGATTTGAGGAGTAGTAGGATAAACGTTTCTACAATGGGGAGTCAGAGGAACGGATTCAAGAAGGAGACCTTCATTTTGTCGGTGGATGTGGGAACTACGTCAATCAGATGTCACGTCTATGATAAGGAGGCAACAATCAGAGGATCATGCACTACCAAGGTACCCGTGTTCCTCTTGCTGTCCTTTTGGTTTAAACATTTCTCAAGCGCACCACCCACTTGCATCAGTCTATGTGTGACACAAACACAAACTTACTCAGTTATTTTGAGGCTGATTTTGTGCTTCTTCTTTTGGTTAAACTTTCTCCAGATTGTCCCTCTGTATCCAGAGGTTGGATACGTGGAGATGGACCCAGATGCGCTGTGGAAAGGGTTTATTACTGTGGTCAAGGGAGCTGTGCAAGGTACAGTTGCGTAATTTCCTGTTGCAACATCTATCTACAGCCATTCCACGGAATTTGACTGAATGTGAGTCATTATTCATGAGAATAGGCACATCCTTTGACAAATGCCTATTTGAGAAAATACTGTTAGTACTTTAATTCATGTTTAAATGCCCATTTTGTTTTTTTCAAAGAGAACAAATACAACTTAAGGCTGACAAACATATTCTGAGATGCAACTAATTTATTTACACCTGGCTACTGCTCAGTGAAATCCAAATAGCAGCACTGCAATCACCCTTAATAGGCACACTATACTTGTCAGAAAGGTGTTCATATAAGTCATTGTTTATTTTCGAGGCTTCATCCTGTTTTGTGGTTTTAATGGATTACCTTATGGTGACATATGAAAGGCTGTTTTGTCCACACTACATTAGAAACCCTTTTGTTTCCTGGTATAGGAAAAAAATATCTTTGCATGTCATTTTTAATAGTTGACAAGGCTCAAGTTGTTATATCACCATTCTGTTCAACTCTGTCTTGGTTTTATTAAGAAAATTATTAACTTGGGAAAGTTGTGTCTGTCCTCAAAAAGCATACAGTAAAGTGCTATGTTGGGGCTGCAACTAACTATTGTTTTTGTTGTTGATTCATATGTTGATTATTTTCATAATTAATTGATTAGTTTGGTCTATAAATTGTCAGAAAATGGTGAGGAATGACACGCAAGATGGTGTCCTCTAATGTCTTCTTTTGTCCACAACCCAAAGATATTCAGTTTACTGTCATAGAGAAGTAAAGGCAGCAGAAAATATTCACATTTAAGATTTACAATCATCAAATTAGTTCATGATTGATTAGTAACTAATCGATTAATTGTTGCAGCCCTACCCTACGTGTGAGTCTCCGTTTCAAAAATCTCCTCCTGTTCCTCACCACAACCATGTTAATGTGTGTGCCTGTGCTGCTCATGATGTAGATGCAGAGGTACAAATGCATCAGATAGAAGCCCTGGGCATTTCCACCCAACGAGGCACCTTCACAACATGGGACAGGTAAAATTAATGAATTATATTAATCAAGTTACCTCCAAAGAAACCCGCATGACTTGTAGGCAAACTTGAGAACTGCTGTAGCACACCTGTTTAACCTGCTTTCGTATAGCACAGTCTTTTTCTCCATCCTGTTTCCATCTCAGGTTCATTTTACTTCCTCTCTTTTATTTTGACAGGAGAACTGGGGTTCCTTTCCATAACTTCATCAGCTGGCAGGATCAGAGGTCTGCAGACCTGGTGAAGTCCTGGAACAGATCCTGCACAATGAAAGTGAGTCTTTGACTGCATCTCTGCCTGTCATGTAGTTTTAGTGAGTATGTTTGGAAGTTAAAGGAATACTTCACCGACAAAATGATCACTTGTATATGAATTACTCACCCCGTGTTATGTTAAATTTGTGAATGCCACCATGGGAAAAGTCTTGATGAATTGAAGTCATATAACAACAGCAAAACTGTATTCAAAGATCTGTTTACAAACTCTCACACAACTCATTCACTATAATCCATGTCTCGTTTATTCAGTTGTATGCTCAGTACTTCCCAGACAGTCAGCCCTTTCAGACCGGGAACTAAACTAAAAGTGAAACTTATCCATGCTCTCTTCAAAGCCAGACTCCATTTCAAAAACAGGGATTTTACCTCGCTATCACAGAAACTGCTGGTCTACCGCTGCCTCGATCAGTAGATTGTGTTATTGTCTGACTTTGGTGAATCTGAAATAAATTAGACTTGGCTTATACTGCATGAGTGGTGTGAGAGTTTGTAAAACCATATTTTCATACAGTTTAGGTGGTGTTAAATACTGACCCTTTTCACTTTGTGTGTGTGTGAGAAAAGTTTTAAAGTAATTGATATTCAAAAGACCAGTTTGTCGGTGACGTATTCCTTTAAGAGGCAAGATGAAGGAACTTCTTACTTGAGTGCAGTCTTGGTAAAAATTTAGTTCAACAACAAGCAACTCTATCATGTCCCTTCATACTGTTTTTACAACAACCATAGACAATCCATGGTGCGATGAAGGCGGTCTACTTCGTGACCAGAGAGAAGCGGTCACTTGCAGCAAGTCTTATCGTCTTCTCCACTCAACATGTCACCTTCCGCCTCGTCTGGGTCCTAACACACTGCAAGCAGGTGTGTGTGTGTGTGTGTGGCTGACATTTAAACCATTTCAACTCAAACACCTAGATCAGGCCTCCCAGGTGGAAAAACCAAAGCATACCACTGTACCCAGATGGCAGAGTCTGTATCAGATTATCACCACATCCTTTCACCTTTACTTCTCTTTTCAGCCTTATCATCTTCATTCTTTCAGGTTTGTCAAGCAGTAGCTGAGGGTAACTGCTGCTTTGGAACAATAGACACCTGGCTCCTGTTCAAACTTACAAAAGGTGTGTGTGGTATTTGTTATGTGAAGCTCAGGAATGTATCATTTGTCCAGTCGATTGCATTTTACACTGCCAGACCACCTAACAGGATTAAAAATCCTGGACAAAATGTTCATTGTGTCTCCAATCCTGCTGCATCACTGATTGGCTGAAATGTTTTAGCTAACCCCAGTGGGAGAGGAGGAGTTTTTTTAAAGGACTTTTTTTTTTTGTGGTTTTACATTTTCTGATTGTTTTTATTTATGTCACCGAACCTGTTTTAGGGAAGGTCCATGCCACAGACTACTCTAATGCCAGTGCAACAGGAATTTTCGACTCCTATCAGGTATGGTGTGTGTAGTGTTCATTTACTTTTTATTTCTGTTTTTGGTGTTTGTTTTGTTTTTTCATATCAATGTCATGTGACCTTTTTTCACAGATGTGCTGGAGTGGGTTTCTCTGCTCTCTAGTTTCGCTGCCTCTCTCTATTTTCCCTAAAGTAGAAGATACAGGGTGAGTAACCATTTCTTTCAAATTCCATGTGGCACGTGAGTCATGTCTTAGCCAGTAAAAGTCTTTAAAAGGAATATTTCACCCCCAAATGATCATTTGTATATCAGTTGCTCACCCCACGTGACTTTGAATTCTGGAAAAAACTTTTGATGAGTTGAAGTCATAGGGAGTCATGTTTAACCACAGCAAAATAAAGCAAATATCCTTTACATACATTTACAAATCTCACACAACTTGTTCACGTTGACAGCACTTTACAGATAACAACAATGGCACAACATGGCAATGAAAATAATTTCCTGTCACTGTTATGTGGTGGCTGATCTCGTCCTCTGCCTGGAGGGAAAGGAGCTCCTGGGCATCCTTGTTGTCCAAGTTTGTGAACATTTTCAGCCGCTTTTTTTCTTCTTTGAGTTAGCTGCTAACTTCTAACAGCTACTTTTTAAATCTCCTGCGGTGGGTCACACAAATAACACGTCATTAAAACGTCACACCTGTGCCTCCCATAATCCCGTCCTGCCAGCTGTCCCTTTCATACAGACATTGTTTCGGCACTATTACTACCTCTGATGCTGGCGTAAAGGCGAGACAACTCTGTCCCCCCATTCTGTGAATGTACCTTTTATACAGAATGACACGGTGGAATAAAGACTTGAAATGCCCGCTTTGAACAGGAGTGTAAAAGGTTTCTAAAGTCTCATTTATCCAGTAATATCCTCAGTACTCCCCAAACACATGCATTTTTACTGAAACCTTACTATTTAAAACAAATCTGTGTGCAAGACTGTTCATGTAGAAGTATTTTAAATATTGTTTGGGAAGTACTGACCATACAACTGGATAAATCAGACTTGGATTATACTGCACCAAACAGCTGTGTTGATATAGTTTTGCTGTTGTTAACTGTGGTTGCCTAAGACTTAAGTTCATGGATAATGTTTGCATTTTTTGGATGCTTTGTTCACTGTGGAGGCATGTCCTCACAAAGTCAACATAAGACAGGGTGAGTAATTGATATACAAATGATCTTTTGGAGGAGGAGTATTCCTTTGATATAAAAGCATACATTTATTGCATTTGCCATAAGTGTACTTTACATAGTATTCCACAATTGTTGACTTGTTACCCAGATGTCAGATGTAATGTAACACTTAAAGTCAGTGTGTCTTAATCTGGGAGTCACCCATGTGATTGTGAGATTCATCTAAGCTGCTGCAAGACGATTACTTGAGTCAGAAATGAGGGAAAAAAGTGAATTTTGCGTCACATAACTATCTTTTTTTTTTTTTGTCATCTTTTTTTTTTTTTCTTCGACTTCTCCAAATACTGTAAACTTGTACTTCCTCAGACCTCTAAACCTGAATACATTTCAGGTCAAAAGTGCTTTGTATTAAGGGGTCATAAGCAAAAAAAAAAAAAAAAAAAAAAAAGTCATGTGTCAGTCACATTATATGAATCACCAGTCTTAAGAGTTGCATTTTAAGCTGCTTTGAAAATGTCTGACTGGATACATCGTTTATTTGTCATTGAAAAAAAACTGACAAAAGCACATTTGTGTTTGCATGAGAGTAAAACAATTCACAGAAAAAAAGACAAATGATGTAAGACAAAATGCCAAGCAGAGTGAATCTGGGGTTGGCTTTCACGTTCTCTGGCGATACTGTCTACAAACAGTTATGGACAATTCTGTCTTAGTATACCTTTAACATAGTGTCAAAATTAATACATATGCCGAAGATTTCCACTCATGAGTGACATGATATTTGTAATCATTGCAATTATGTGATGTTGTGAATAAAGTGTGTGAGATGATGCATTGTCTCTGGTTTCTTCCTCATGATGCATCAGCCATGACTTTGGTTCCACAGACCCGTCCATCTTCGGAGTGTCCATTCCCATCATGTCAGTGGTAAGTAGTCAACAACACACTCTGTTATCTGTGTGATTATGATTTAAAAACATTGATTGCCACATTTATGCCGGCGTGTCCAAGTCACTGTGACTCACACTGTGCTGTAAAAGGGAAAGTAAGCCAAGTTATGTCGTTAATCATCATCAGGGAATGTGTGGCAGGACGAGAACATAACACAAAGTAGAATTCCTGGTGGAAAGATGCCTTGTTTGAATAGTGACACATTGAAGTTTTTTACTCACACAGGGTCTTCCTCTTAGTCAAACTTGGATTATTAGACACAGTAGGTGTTTCCAGTGCTGCTCAGATGAGACTAAACCTGTTCTACCATTTTGTTTTCACAACACATGCCCTCTGTCCCTCTGCCGTAGATGGCGGACCAGCAGGCAGCCATGTTTGGAGAGTGCTGCTTTGACATTGGTGATGTCAAGATCACTATGGGAACAGGCACCTTTATGGACATCAACACCGGGAGCCAACCACATACATCCGTAGCAGGTGAGGCAAGATGCACAAGAATTTTAAGGTTATTCTATCCAGATGTGTCCATACAGCCACATTACAAGTTTCCTCTCTGCAGGTCTGTATCCTCTGGTGGGCTGGAAGATCGGCTCAGAGGTGGTGTATCTGGCGGAGGGCAACGCAGCAGACACAGGCACTGCCATCAAATGGGCACAGGAGCTGGGTGAGCAATAAGTAGTGTACAGTCACTCCGATGGTAACATCTTTTTTTATCTTATTCACAAGAATGTTGGCAGGTAGGTGAAAGGTTTTATGAGGTTGTATTCATCAAAAACAAAATGCAGGAATCAAGTTATCCGTGTTTAAAGTAGAACTCATCTTTATACTCTTCAAAGCCAGACTCCATTGACAAAAACGGTCATTTTAACTCACTGAACGTGGGAGCTGCTGGTCTACCACTGCCTTGAACAGTTAATTTGTTCGTCTTATTGTGTCCTGGACCTCATTGTTTTCCAAGTTAGCGGACATTTTCAGCTCCTGTTCTTCTATTTTTGAGTTAGCTGCTAACTGCTATCAGCTACTTTTTTAATGTCCTGCTTTGCTTCACAAAAATAACACGTCATTTAATTGTCACACCTGTGCCTCCCATGATCCCGTCCTGCCAGCTGTGTTCATACAGACATAGTTTCGACACGGTTACTACCTCCGATAATGGCTTAAAGACAAGACGACTCTGTTACCCCATTCTGTGATTGTGCCTTTTATACAGAACAGCGTGGTGGCATAACAACGTGAAGTTCCCACCTTGAACAAGACTGTGAAATTTTCCTTCTTTAAATATTATTGTTTGGGAAGTATTGAGCATACGACTGGGAGTGAGACTTGGATTATACTGCACAAGCTGTGTGAGTTAGTACGTAGACGTTTTGATATGGGTCGCCCATGACTTCAGTTCACCAAGAATATTCTCCATGATGCAATGTAACACGGGGTGAGTAAGTAGTATACAAAAGGTTATTTAGGGGATGAAATATTCCGTGAAAGTTGTCTGTGTGTAAGAAATAATCCTCTTTACTCTGAGCAGCGACTGACAGATTCAGAGGGAGTGTGTTAAACCTGCGTGTGTCGTTGCAGAGCTCTTCTCTGACGTCCAGGAGACCAGCGCCATGGCTTATAGTGTCAGCGACTCAGACGGAGTGTGTTTCGTTCCTTCCTTCAGCGGCCTGCAGGTAGATGTGTACAATGTGCATGTCAGTGTATCTGTGTAAAAAAAAAAAAAAAAAGTATTTACTTTTCTATACAGACGTGCACACAACCATATTCACTGTAGCACATGTAGTTTGAAATGAATGCGGGCATTGATTTACCTTTTTACTTTCTCTGTGTAACATGGTTTTGTGTCTCTTTTTTTTTCTCTGCCCTCCATTGTGATCTGGCCTTTGTAAGTGTGTCCTGAATGTTTAAGTTTATAAGCATGTGATTACAAATCTAATGGTTGCACAAATAGGAGCTATATACAGTAACCACGTAAAACAGTATAGCTGCACTCTTGCTGACCAGAGGCCTGTAAGTTTCACTTGAGGACCATTTTATAGATTTTTTTTTTAACCAGGTCTGTTTTTCACTGAGATATTTGACACGTTTATGTATTTATTTATCATCCAAAGGCTCCTCTGAATGATCCCAAAGCTTGTGCCTCACTCATGGGCCTCAAACCTTCAACCAATAAAAGTCATCTGGTGCGTGCCATTCTGGAGTCTATTGCCTTTAGGTGAGCTGTTCTGTTCAACCTTCCTTACCATCATTCTCATTCATTCTACTGACTACTTACATGCTCATATTGTAATGTGATAAATAACATTCATTTTCATTAGCCACATAAACAGCTTTGTAGGACTATTGTCTTTTTCGGAATAAGGGCAAAAACCAGAATATTTTGTGTGTGTAAACGTAGTCAGTGATATTGTCTCTTGTACTTATTCTTTTTAGGAACAAGCAGCTCTACGAGACGATGCTGAGAGAAACTGACATTCCCATCACCAAGATCAGGTGCGGTTTTCCTAATCCACTAAAGTGTATCTCATTGTAGTAATGTAAACTCGCTGCACACATGAAAAAGAGTCATGTAAGCATTTAGCTCACGTCGTCGTCTCCCAACTCTTTGATATCCCAGCTTACAGTGCAGTATCTGATTTGTAGGATTTTTGGATTTCAGCCAGCAAACTGGGCATAACAGAGTGGACTCCTGTGTACCCTGCCTCCACTAATGCAGTTCAGCTTTTATTGGCAATGCATTACAGCTCTATATTTCTCTGATACTGTTACAGTAAAGTGAGTTTCTATGTAATTGAGTGTGCTATCTTTCTTTCTTTCCGTCTCAGGGTGGATGGCGGTGTTTCTGCCAACGACTTCGTCATGCAGCTGACTGCAGACCTGTTTGGCAGGAAGGTAGCCAGACCTCAACACTTGGAAATGTCGTGTTTAGGGGCTGCTTTTGTCGGAGGGCTTGGAACGGGTATGCAGACACGCTCGCACATGACGTGACATGCTTTTCAAATGCTCAACATTTTTGCAGTTCTTCTTGGCCAGTTGTTTGAACCTGTGTGTCCTGGAGATGTTGCTCAACACAAAGAAGAGAAGCAGCTCTGTCAAGCAGTTAGACAAAGACCAGACGCTTAAATGTTACTCTTTACTTTCAATATGATTCCTTGTTTTCCTCTAAAAATATCACAAATCCTTGTCCTGACAGTGGGTTGCATTTGAAAAGTCATGATCAAAAGTCCTATTTTTATTCCTGGCACTGGCAGGAGAAGCAAACTGAAATGCTGCTCTTTGTTATGTAACCTGTTTTCCATTTAATTATTCACATTATGTAATTAGATTATTATACATTAGTCAGTGTTTAATTAAATCAAACACAGACGATGAATTTGTCCGTGTTGTTTTATAACAGGACAGAAGCAGGTGGTGCTGATGACTGAATAATAATGTGAATCATGTGTTTGAGAACCATTAGTTCTTATTGGATCAGCAGCCAGTAGTGTTGGGTGATGTGAAAAAAAAATTCTGCAGCACTTTCAGCCATTGATTAGCGATGGGGGCATAGGCTCATTTGTATCACTCAGAGTGCCACATTCTGAATTTATAGGACTTCTTGTGTCACACAGGCATCTTTTTTTAAGGCTTGGTGTTTATGTTGCTTACCTTCTGTCCTCCACTGTCACTGCAGGCTTCTGGAGGACCAAGGAAGAGCTGAAGAAGCTGCAGAACACAGACGAGGCATTCTTGCCCAAAGGAGTACCCCAGGGCGGTGCTTGCAGCCCAAATCGGGAATACATCCCCGTTGTTCAGAGCTGGGAGAAAGCTCTCCGACGCTCCATGAATTGGTACAAGCCTTGACACTGGATGCACACACCAGGAGATCCAGGGTTTGACCGAACGGGAAGATAGAGACATGGGTTTTGAGTCCTATATGACAGCAGATGATCCTTATGAAACAAAATAACTGTTAAGATGACAACCATCAGCTGTGTCTCTGAACTATTTTAAGGGGAAATTTTTAAGTGACACAAAGAAATTATACGTACATGATTTGGCATCTTTCAACCTTTTGTGTCTAAGTTTCTAATGGGAACAACAATGTTGTCCAGTACTGAGCGACAGGGCTCCAGCTGGTTGCCACATAATCACTTGGGGCATGTTTGCACAGTCAGTGTACGTCCTCTAAAAGTGTTTGGTTTTGCTACTGACAGGCTCAGATTGTTAATATATAGCTGTGTTTCCGCCAAACACTTTCGGTACATACATACCGAAGCGATACATACCCCATACGGACATATACTTAACCTTTCTTTTTTTCACCGCAGACAGTACTCTGCTGCTCCGTCCAGCTCTCGCTGTATTTCCTGTTCAGGAGTGATGGAGAGGAACATCTGCACCTCGCTGATCGTCCATGTAACAGGGTTTCACACTGAAATTTTTTAAAACAAAGACTGGAGTGTTTCTCTGTCGCAACTGATGGGAAATTGAAAAATAGTGGCCGTGTTCATTGGGTCGAGAGAGGGGTTATGAAAAAACAGAACTAAATGGAACAGATTTATTGGTACCACCCACAACTTTTGACACTGGAAATGCAAATGTAACCTTTCTAATGTGTAACCAACTGAACTACACCAGACTGCTTGATGGAAATGAGACAGTCAGACAACAATATAGAAAGTATCCCTACAGAGATAGACTTTTTTGTTAAAGAATAAAGTCCTTTTTGTTTAAACAGAAACCCCTGAAGCCCTGAAATCGCCATCACCTCACCCACCAGACTCCATTTAAATAAACAGTCATTTTAACGTGCATAGAGCCAGCATTGTTTCACATCTAACTGGATGATTCAAGGGTTTATTTTAACAAAACCAGAGTGGATGGTTGTTTGAACAGTTTAAATACAAACTGAGACTGTTTAGTGAGTTATATTTTGTGTCTGTCAACTCTGAATGAAGTGTGTTTTACGATGATAAAATTACCACTTATTTAAATGGAGTCTGGTGGGTTTAGTGATATTGATTGCGCGGCTGTTTATGTTTAAACAAAAAGGATCTTATTCTTTAACCATAAATCTATTTCTGTACTAATGCTTTCCATAATGGTGTCAGACACTTATAATAAAAATCTGAGCCTGTCAGTGGCAAAAACAAGAACTTAAGTGAAGGTAAATTGAGGAAAATGCCCCGAGTGGTTACATTGCAGCCTGTTTTGCCGCTGCTAACTGAAGCCCTCCCGCTTAATAGTGGACCAGTTTAAAAAATGTTGTCTCCATTAGTAACTCAGACACAAAAACATGAGTAAACAGGATCCACCTTTAAAAATATATATATAAAATTAAAGGAAATAACACAGCTTTCTTCTACTGAAAAGAAACACAGCTGAAGGTCATACTCTTTGACATCATGGTACAGCACTGATAACTGATTGAAAGCAGGGTTGTGGGAATGGTCCAGTACAGGTCTGATCCAGGCCAGAGCGCTGTCAGCCTCCTTCACAACCTTGAGTTGTGGTCAACATGCACAAGTTACTGCACCTTTTACTTGATTTCTTCACACCATCGATACCTTATTCTGTATGCTTTCCACATCTCAAGCCACTGGTGCCTCTTCATGTCACAGTCTTTCATCCAGCTGGGATAATATTGGTACTGTTTCCCACATGGGGGCGCTAATGACTGGCTTTACAGCTCTTTAATTTATGAACGCCATAGCAACCACATGTCACATGATAATAAGGATTGAAATCAGTGATACCAGATTGACACATGATCCTCTGTGAGGAAGAAGAACAGCACTTGGCCCTTCTGTTTGTGACACCTCAAGATTTGTAGAGCTCTAAATAGGAAGCAGAATTTCAAGATGTTGTAAAATTGTGCCAGACTCTGAACTAACGCAGTTTAGTATTTGCCTTTTTGACTAACTGTTTCTTTTCGATTTGACAGTATTTTCTTGTTTTCTTTTCAAGGAAAAGTTAGGCCTCTGGAGAAAATCTCCAGTCACACATGTTGCCATTTGGAAATCTGGAGCAGCTTTAATTTTATAATGATAAATTCTGGCTGCACGCTTTACAAAGGACTTAAACTCACCTTCGATCAAAGTACAATAATTAAATGTGATTGAACGTGATGATAATATTGTTTAAATATGACTGGAACAAAAACTAATTATCCATGCTTTTCTCTGTGTGAGAGAATCCCACTGGATTTTAGTATTTTAGCACCTTGTTGTCAGAAATGATTCTCGCCTTTTTGATGCATCTCACAACTCCGCTGGAAATGATTGTGGCTCTGTTTACACCTGGTATTGATATGCGTCTTGGGTGAGTGGATCACAAGCAGACTTCACTAACGCACAGGTGTGAATGCACACAATGAGATCAGATCCCTCAGACCACATTCAGACTCAGACAACTTTATTCATTCGGAGGTGGTCTGGTCCGCATATGGCCACGTTCTTTCACCAGGGTGAGCGCTAATGTGTTCTGGGCCACATGAAGGACTGCCTGCTCAGCTGACGTCCTTGAGTATCAACTCCTCGCCAGTACACGCAGCGCTGAAGGACCGTCTGCTCTCCTGGCAAACGGTCAGTTCAACGTCTGCCCAGTTAGAAGCAGCTTTAAACAGTACTTAGAAACTCACACAAACACTAAAATGGCTCTACTCTTTCTGAGCTGGGTAACGCTGTGTGATGCTAACAGTTAGCCCTGGCACTGTGTGATTATGGGCATACCCTCCTACTTAGCCACAGTGACACATTTAGCTTTCGCAAACAAAATGATGTATGCGTTAACTTGCATATAGAGCAGAAGACTGAGATCTAAATACAAGTGGTCTGTTGAGAGGCATGGGGAGAAGCATCCTAATGCCAGGTTAAAAAAGACTTTGAACTGACTGCTTGTGGTCAGATTGTCCAAGACGCATGTTAATACCAGGTGTAAAGCTCCGTGAGGGGGATTTTTATAGGTATACATGGGGATTCCAACATTTAGCTTTACTGCAATAGCCTTCATTAATCTCAATTTTTGCTATCAAACAAGTCGATCAGGGATCAGGGTTGATTTAAATATTAGCTGGACTGACCTAAAATGAATTAGGATACATAAAAATATGTATTTGAGTGTTATTTCTTATCCATGTTTTGTATCCATCATTTCAGTTATTATGAGTTAGTGTTATTGTTGAATTGTTCTGTGGTGGACAGCCGTGTTGATGTCATATGATACTGTTTTGACTCAAGTCCTTTACCTGACCTGATGAACTCTGATGACGTAATCTGATCGTGTAATGAAAAAACAAGTTACTAAGAAATGTAAACTGTGAATGTAATTCTAAATATATTCTACTTGCTGGCTGTTGCTAAATGTTTTGCCTTTCACAATACTGCAGTATCTTTTTTTTTTCTTTTAAAGGTCTGTTATGCAAAGTGACACTATGCACAAAATGAACACCTCAGAGTGAAATGACATTCCATTTCCAACACTTCATTCAGTTCTTGAATGGCAGATGTCATCCCAAGCTGCTGGGACATAACTTAATTGTGTGATTATGAATTCTGCTACCAAATTGCATGAATGTCAGGAGTATTAAAAGTGTAAATTATCAGCAGTTGCTTGTGGTGATTTGAGTGTCTCCTGCCTCAGTGGGTGTCACCGACACGCTGAGTGAACAGATGCTGCCTAAAGGGTTTTACCTCCACGTGGACTCAGGGGAGATGCCGTTGTCTCATCCCTGGGGAATGATCAGAAACACAGGCTGTTGGATGAGTGTCGGGATTGCTTCCCATTGATGTGACCAACCTCGCTGTGAGGGTTGCTATGGTAGCTTGCGGATGGAGTGACTGAGAACAAACGGGGTGTGTTTTCCTGCTCATGGTGCTGGTATGCTGGTATGGTGAAGGGGGCGCTAATTGAGTGCACGGAAAGGGGGTTTTCCTAAACAATGGGAGGATTGTGTGCCCGTCCCCCCTCAGAGGAAGAGCAGAAGTTTGGTGGACATCACACAGATCCATACCTACCATATCTGCGATGCGTCAACTCCCTTCCTGCACCCAAACGCTTCCTGAAGTCGAGTTGTCAATCTCGGCTTTCTCACTCCAGCATGGGTAGTTTTTTGTGCCAGTGGGCTTGGCTTGCAGTGGGATGCCTTCACAGAGAAAAATGTGCTAGAGTAAGTGAGACAGACAGGACTAGCCCATGAATCAGTGCTGCCGGCTCTCACACTAATCAGTAAAATGGGTGTGTGTGTGTGTGTGTGTTGTGGTATTGTGCCGCATTGTATGAGTTGTGGTGGACCCTGCCTTGCAACAAATTCAATCTGACAGCAGGAACTGGATGCAATGCGACCACTACTCCGGTCCCCCTCCCCCATACGAGCTGAACCCTGCATCAAGGGTCGTTATATAACTCCCTCCTCTCTTTCCTCACTCTCAGTGACACACTGGGATTGTTCGTTGGAGTGTCGGGGGTTGGAAGTTAATCTCTTGTCCTTTTTTTTCTGTCAGTGTCTCAGCCTCTCCCCCTGCTGCCTCAACTCCGCTCTCACTTCAGTTAATTTCGGCACGACATGCATGCATACAGACCGGCAGTGCAGAGGCTTGAAAGCACATTAGCTGTGCGGGTAAAGCGCATTTTATTGATATGACTGTAGAACAATGCTGGGATAAGATAGCATCCTCGCCTTATTTGCCAGGAAAATAAAAAATGTTCTGTTAACTGTGACACATCTGTTTACAGTCATGCACTCTATGTACTCTCTCACTCTCACAGGCACGCACACACATTCGAGTTTCAGTGGTGCTCAATTGCCATAGCAACAAGGATTGGCAAATGCTCCAAATATCTATGCTCAACCAGTCAGTCACAAATAGCATCCTCATGGGCTTCAAATATGCTGATCACCGCCATCTTTGCACTTATATAGTACATATATGAGACTGAAAGTGTGTTATCTTTCTGCAGTGCATGCATTACTGTTGAAATACACACGAGCCCATAAGATTGGTAATTGGTTTGATGACTCAACTCACACGACTGGTACGCAGATGAGCTGTAGTGAACCTATAATAAACCTTGATGATGTGATACCATTAAACAAGAGTGTAGGTTTCGTTTTAACGTTGGTAAGGGGAACAAATATGAAACAGGGTGACTGGGGGTCTACCAGAAAATCTAAGCATTAGACACTTAAAGGAACAGTGTGTAAGATTTGGGGGGATTTTGTGACATCTAGCAGTGAGGATTGCAGCAAACTGCTACTTGTTAGATTTCCTTCATTGTTTGGGAGGTTTTTTATCAGGAGCCGAATTATCCACAGAGGTCTCCTCCTCTCTAAAACAAACAGAGCTGGTGATTAAAACCAGTACAAACTCTAAATGAAGCAGTTTCATGTTACAAATCAGTGTTACTTTAACACTGTTTGACACATCAGAGTTGGTCCACTTGTCCAGCACCTGCGAATGTGTGCTCACCTTATTTCTGATCCAGACGTTGAGGAGGTTTTTACCATGAGACGAATTATGTGCAAAGGTCTTCTCCTCTCCAAAACAAATGGAGCCGGTGATCAGAAACACTGAATAAGGCAGTGTCATGTTACAAATCAATATTTCTCCAACGCTGTTTGGCATGATGGAGACGGGCCACTAGCCTAGCGCCTGCTAATGTGTGCTCACCTTTTTTCTCTGGTAACTTAAGCTCCTGGGGCCAGTTGCACAAAGCACCTCAAGTTTGGATTTTTCCTAAAGCCAAAGTTAAGGCTTCCCTAAAATAAAATCGGTTGCATAAAAGTCTTTTCCTTATGGTTTCCTTAAACTGTACTTAAGGACTCAAGTTCTCCTTATCTTGGTTTTATGCTTAAGGAATTGCTTAAAGTTTGTTAAACCCCTGCATAGTAACCAAAGTAAGGACAAACACATTTGTACCTCTGACTCCATCTTAACCACAACATGGCTGGGTTTATGGAGATAAATGAGAAAAATTAAGGCATCCCGAGAAGATTGTTCTGGGAACAGGAAAACCCGATGGACAAATTTAATGACGACCAGTTGATTTTTCATTACAAATTTGGCCGCAAGTCAGTTTGTGATTGTGACCATCTGGGATTGGTTCACTCAACTTTCTGTTCAGTTTTATGCATTGGGATCTTTTTAGTCAGTTATTGGTGAGGTATTTCATGTAAGCCTTAAGTGTTATACTTAGCAAACTTAAGGAGCTTTGTGCAACCAGCCACAGATTTTTAGGAGGTTTTTACCTGGTGCTGAATTATCCACAGTGGTCTCTTCCCCTCTAAAACAAACAGACCATGTGATTTAAACAGCTAAAAAAAAACCCCGCCAAATTAAGCAGTTTCGCGTTTAAAAGGTTTTCCTGATGCTTTGTTCGTGGATGAGCTCCCAGATGGTGGTTGACACAAACATGCAATTGGCCCTATCTAGAGCCATTTTTGTGGTTTGTCTGTTCTGGGCTACTGTAGAAACATGGCAGCGCAACATTACCCTGGAAATCCAGAGTTCTCGCAAGAGCACAATTTGAATTTGCTCATTGCAAGATGGCCACGGTTGAACACCAGTTGTTTGAAACGGCTTTGGCCACTACAATGAACGAGTTAGACTTGGCCTTTTCTCTAAAACAGGAACAGAAAACGGCGCTCGAATCTTTCCTTTGCAAGAAGGGCGTTTTTGCTGTTTTGCCGACCGGATATGGCATGAGTCTAATCTACCAGTTAGCTCTGCTGGTAGCTAAGCATATATGTCACCCCGTGTATTGTTCTGATTGGTCATAGTGTTATCCAATTGTGTGCAGTGATATTTTCAAACGCATGCTTGGTGCCGCCCCTTGAGTTGGGCCATTTTCATTACTCATAGCCAGACCCTAAATCTTTCTAGATTTGGGTCTGGACTTCCAGGCTAGTGCAACATGGCAATTTCCATAGATAAGGACCCGCTCCCCATGTAGATATAAAAGGCTCATTCTATGGTAATGAAAACACACTATTCTTATTTTCAGCTGATGATACACTAAATAAAATATACGCATTATGTTATATTCCATTTCTGCCAATATGTCCCCCTAAATCCTGCACACTGGACCTTTAATTTCCTGCATTCTGGTGAATTTTTATGCACCAATGTGTGCCTTTCCTGCATCAGTTTGTGGTGTAAATGTCTTTAATGTGGTCAGAACCTTTCATGTTTTATGGAGGGGGCTGGCATGTTCTAAACTTTAAGGATGGCGTCCCTCCCCCCTGAAATCTACACCCACACATGCCATTGAAGGCGAAAAATACCTTTTATCAGGCCCATAGATTGCCTTGAGTTTGGTTTCACACTGAAAATGGGACATTTTATTGCGTTTTCTGAAGGATCCCGCATTCTATTATAAAATGGATATCCATCCTGTTCCCAATCGCATGCGGCCATTATAATATAAATGATGATAAGAAGGATAAATGTGCGCTCTATTTATAATTTCTGCGCGTAACGGTGCGTCTCCGTGCGTCTCTCCGTCATTAGCCAATGTACATCCATCTGGTCGCACTGCATCAGCTGCCACGACGGGGCTTGTGTGGACGTCACTGATTTTTTTTTTCTTCTTCTCTTTCCTCACCTTCCCCTTCTCGGCTTTTTTTTTTTTTTTTGTTCCACCAGAGCATCTCTCTCCTTCGGCTCTCCCTCTCTCTCTACACCGCCCACTCCACTCACCGCCGCCTCGCCGGCTTCTTCGCCTCATTACATCGCCCGCTGCCCTTTTCTGCAATTTTTTTTAAAAGGTAGAAGACACCGCGCATTTTGGGAGCACACAAATATAATATAAATATCACCATGGCGAGCACCGAAGATAAACCGGCCAACAAGGAGAACACGTCAAGCTGGAAGGACTCCTTCTACAACCCGAGGACCGGGGAGCTGCTGGGTCGCACGGCCAGCAGCTGGGGTAAGGATCCCCGTTATACAGCAGTCAGTCAGGAGATGTGCGATGACATTCACGGGGCTTTCACCTCATCTGATGTCTCCTTCTTGTCATTTTCAAAGCATTTAAAGATGTGAATGTATAGCCTTTATATATGTCTATGCATGGATGATTTAAAATGACTGCCATATAGATATTGGATTAGCGGAGGAGCCATCATAGGCCTACATGAAGGTGTAAAGGAGAAGCCTGTACCAAGACGAATGATGCTATCAAAGGTGTGCACTACTCTCTGTTTGCTGCATAGGCAGAAATGACCAATCAGCTGATAATCAATCATAATACCAGAGATTTTTTTCATGTTTCATCTGCATTTATCAGGATTCACAGTGCAGACTCCAGCTGTTAAAAGCCCTCATTACCTAATCAGATTTGAGGAGTGAGCCACAGCATTCCTGAGCTGTATCCATAGCTGATCAGGCCATACATTTTATGTAATGATTCCCCAGTTATTTCCAGAGTGAGGTAGTAACACAGCACCCTCCCTCCAGCAGCCAGCTCCTATAGGCTAGCGCGGGCTGTCAGGCTGCCTGGGCCCCTGTGCTGCTGTGCAGTGGGATGCTCCATTGCAGTTGCATGGCCGCCCACATTAGCATGCCTGTCAAGGTCAAATGGGATTCCCTCTCTCCTCTTTCTCTCCCT